TCGTGCCCGCCCGGCCCCGTCATGCTGCGTCACATGTCCCAGCACGGTCTTGTCCTTGGTCTCCCAGGTTCACTCCCCGCGTTTCCCTCCTCCCCAGCTCCACCTTGCACGCCTTGTGTCGAGGGTCGGCTTCGCCGTGCCCCTCACTCCTCCTCGTTCCCCCCTACCGTCGCGCCGCTGCAGACCCTGCACCTGGACGTCTGGGGCCCCGCCCCCGTCCCTGGGCCGCGTCGCGAGCGCTACTTCCTTGTGCTTGTCGACGACTTCACTCGTTACACCACAGTCTTTCCCCTGGAGCGCAAGGCCGACGTGCCTGGCGCCCTCATCACCTGGCTTGTCTCTGCGCGTGTCCACCGCGGTCTCCCTGTCTTGCGCCTTCACTCAGACCGTGGTGGCGAGTTTGCCTCAGGTGTCCTTGGTCGCTTTTGTCGTGCGGAGGGCATCACCCAGACGTTCACCCTACCGGACTCCCCACAGCAGAATGGGGTCGCTGAGCGACGCATCGGCTTGGTCATGGAGGTCGCTCGCACCTCCATGGTCCATGCCGGTGCACCCCATTTTCTGTGGCCGTTCGCTGTGCGCTACGCTTCTCACCAGCTTAACCTGTGGCCGCACCCTCAGCAGCCGTAGGTTTCGCCGACCCGTCTGTGGACTGGGTCTCCTGGTGACGCGTCTGCGTTCCACGTCTGGGGCTGCCTTGCTCACGTCCGTGCCTCCGGCACGGACAAGCTCACTGCCCGCACCCTTCCCTGCGTCTTCCTCGGTTTTCCCCTTGACGCGTCCGACTGGCACTTTTACCACCCGCCGTCTCACCGCTTCTTTCACTCTCGTGACGTCACCTTTGACGAGTCCGTCTCCTACTACCGCCGCTTCCCCCACCGTGGTCCCCCGGTTACCCCCCCCTGTTCCTGGTCACCCCTTCCCCGGTAGTCCCTGCCCCTCCTCCTCCTCCTCCCCGTCCCGCCCCCTCTGGTGTCTCCCATGTCACCCCCCTTCCGTCCGTGGACCCGGTTGAGGAGTCTTCTGACTCTGGTGGCCCTCCGGTGCAGTCCTCGCCGGCCGCCCCTCCCCAGGTGTCCCCTCCCCAGTCCCCTCCTCCGCCGTCCCTGCCGCCACTGCAGCCGTCGCCGTCGCCGCCGCTGCCGCAGTCGCAGCCCCCGTTCGCTGACTCTGGGGGTGCTGGTCCCGGTCGCCCTGAGGGTGGTCCCTCTGGGGGTGCGGGTGTGGAGCGTGCCGGTGGTAGCCGAGGAGCAGCTTGCGGTCCAGGTGTCGCCGTTGTGCCGCCGCAGCAGCAGTCCCCGCCGGTGTCCGCCCTTCGCCTGCTCGGCCTTCCGTCCCCCGACCCTGCGTCGGTTCCTCCCCGACCGTCTCCTCCTCTTCCTGTCTACGGCCCTGTTTTCCCTCCGCCGGACTCGTCCCCGGCCCGTCTCCCCCCTCGTTCACCTCCTGTGTCCCCTCCCCTGTCTCCTGACCCGACTCCTCCATCGCACGTCTGGTCTCGCCGTCCCTCCCGTGCTCGTCCTGCCTCGCCTGTCCTGCGCTCCCACCCTATGTTGCTTCGTTCACACGCGTCTCGTCCTCCCCTTCTGCCGTCGCCTCCTCCGTCCTCCCTTGTTGTTGCGCCCCCCCCGCTGTCCGACTACCTTCGTGCCGCTCGTCCCCTCGTTCCTCGGGTCCTTGCCTCTCTCGTTACCGACCCGTCTGTTCCAGTCTCGTGCCTTGACGCTCTTGTCGCTGCTGTCGCTGACTTCGCCTCTACCCGCCGCCTTGACTACGCCACCGCTCTGGTCTCTGACCCTGCCTGTCCTCCGTCTGTCGGGGGTGCTCCTGCCCTTGGCAGTGACGTCCTGGAGGACCGCCAGTTCGAGCTTGCTTTCCTGTCTGAGGCTGCTCCCCATCTCTGTTCCATGCTGCTAGTCCCTGAGGGTGACCCAGACGCTTTCGACATCCCGACCCCTCGCACTTACGCTGAGGCGACTTCGGGACCCTGGGCCTCGCAGTGGATAGCTGCCATGGAGCAGGAGATGGCATCTTGGAGATCCACCGGCACCTTCGTCGACGCAGTTCCCCCACCTGGGGTGAACGTAGTCGATGGCCGCTGGCTCTTCAAGGTGAAGCGCCCTCCTGGAGAGCCGCCTGTCTTCAAGGCGCGCTATGTGGCTAGAGGCTTCAGTCAGCGCGAGGGGGTGGACTTCTTCCAGACTTTCGCTCCGACCCCGAAGATGACTACTCTTCGGGTTCTGTTACACCTAGCTGCTCAGCGTGACTACGAGCTTCACTCTCTCGACTTCTCCACTGCCTTCCTTCAGGGCAGCCTACACGAGCAGGTCTACCTGCGCCGCCCTCCGGGCTTTACTGGCACCTTCCCTCCTGGGACCCAGTGGCTCCTGCGGTGTCCCGTCTACGGCCTGCGCCAGGCTCCCCGTGAGTGGCACGACACTCTGCGTGCTACGCTTGCTGACCTGCAGTTCTTTCCGTCTTCTGCAGACCCTTCACTCTTCGTTCGTGCTGGCCAGACTCCGTTCTACATCCTCGTCTACGTCGACGACCTGGTCTTTGCCACAGCAGACAGGGACGCGCTGGCCTCCGTGAAGGCAGAGCTGCTGAAGAGACACACCTGCACTGACCTTGGAGAACTGCGCCGTTACCTTGGCTTGCAGATCTACAGGGACAGAGCTGCGCGCACCATCACCCTGACTCAGTCACACTTGGTGCGCCAGGTCCTTCAGAGGTTCAGCCTTCAGTTCTCCTCTGCACAGCCCACCCCTCTGCCTGTAGACCACAGGCTCTCCGCTCCAGTGCCTGAGGAGTTGGTAGAGCCCAGCGGCCCCTACGCAGAGCTAGTGGGTTGCCTCATGTACCTGATGACTTGCACTCGCCCAGATCTCGCATACCCTCTCAGCATCCTGGCTCGCTTTGTGGCCACAGGCAGACACCGACCGCAGCACTGGTCTGCCGCTAAGAGGGTTCTGCGTTATCTTGCTAGTACATCGGGCATGGGGTTAGTGCTAGGCGGACGCAGGCCAGTGGTCCTTACTGGACACACAGACGCTTCTTGGGCAGACGACGCCGAGACTCTCAGGTCTTCCCAGGGCTACTGTTTTAGCCTTGGCTCAGGTGCTGTCTCGTGGAGAGCTACCCGCTCCTCGTCTGTTGCCCAGTCCAGCTGTGAGGCTGAGATCTACGCCGGTGCCATGGCGGCACAGGAGCTCCGCTGGCTGACCTTCTTCCTCACTGACTTAGGTGAGCGACCTAGCTCTGCCCCGGTCTTGTACGCTGACAACAGGGCTTTGATCCTCCTGTGTCAGGAGCCTCGACTCGAGGGTAGAGCGAAGCACATCCAGCTGCGGTACTTCCTCCTGCGCGAGCTACAGCAGCGTCGCCAGGCTCGCGTAGTACACTTGGCCTTCGGTGCCAACACAGCTGATATCTTTACGAAGGCGCTTGCGCCTAAAGATCATCAGCGGCACTGTGTACAACTTGGTCTGGTTCCTGTAGTCCCTCACTTACTCGGGCCTTGACTTTGTACTGTCCTATATATATGTGTACACTCAGACTGGACTTGTGTCCTCTCACAGTGGTTGGACTAGTAGTGCCGCCCTGTACTTGTTCTTGTCTTGTCTGTACTCCTTCTGACTGGTCTTTTAGACCCTTGTCTCAGAGGCTGGACTAGTAGTGCCGCCCTGAGCTGCTTGTCTAGGACATTTGGCTGCTGCTTGCAGATCTCCAGGGACAGAGCTGCGCGCACCATTACCCTGACTCAGTCACACTTGGTGCGCCAGGTCGTTCAGAGGTTCAGCCTTCAGTTCTCCTCTGCACAGCCCACCCCTCTGCCTGTAGACCACAGGCTCTCCGCTCCAGTGCCTGAGGAGTTGGTAGAGCCCAGCGGCCCCTACGCAGAGCTGGTGGGTTGCCTCATGTACCTGATGACTTGCACTCGCCCAGATCTCGCATACCCTCTCAGCATCCTGGCTCGCTTTGTGGCCACAGGCAGACACCGACCGCAGCACTGGTCTGCCGCTAAGAGGGTTCTGCGTTATCTTGCTAGTACATCGGGCATGGGGTTAGTGCTAGGAGGACGCAGGCCAGTGGTCCTTACTGGGCACACAGACGCTTCGTGGGCAGACAACGCTGAGACACTCCGGTCTACCCAGGGCTACTGCTTCAGCCTTGGCTCAGGTGCCGTCTCGTGGAGAGCTACTCGCTCCTCGTCTGTTGCACAGTCCAGCTGTGAGGCTGAGATCTACTCCGGTGCCATGGCGGCACAGGAGCTCCGCTGGCTGACCTTCTTGCTCACTGACTTAGGTGAGCGACCTAGCTCTGCCCCGGTCCTGTTCGCTGACAACAGGGCCATGATCCTCCTGTGTCAGGAGCCTCGACTCGAGGGCAGAGCGAAGCACATTCAGCTGCGGTACTTCCTCCTGCGTGAGCTACAGCAGCGACGTCAGGCTCGCGTAGTACACTTGGCCTCAGGTGCCAACACGGCTGATATCTTTACGAAGGCGCTTGCGCCTAAAGATCATCAGCGGCACTGTGTACAGCTTGGTCTAGTTCCTGTAGCCTCTCACTTGCTAGGACCTTGACTTTGTACTGTCCTTTATATGTATACTCAGACTGGACTTGTGTCCTCTCCCAGTGGCTGGACTAGTAGTGCCGCCCTGCTCTTTGCTTGCCTTGTCTGTACTCCTTCTGACTGGTCGCTCAGACCCTTGTCTCAGAGGTTGGACTAGTAGTGCCGCCCTGAGCTGTTTGTTTAGGACTTTCCCCTATGCAGTCTAGGGGGTGTGTCAAACATGTCTATTTGTTATGTTTGTATAGACTGTATAGGGTAGCCTCTTAGAGGGTACAACACTTAGCTATATTGTGTGTACTCTCCCTCTATCACTATTCATTCAATTTTCTGATACTAGTATCCTAGCCAAGCTAGTGTCCTAAGTTTAGGAACCTAGTCTCCTAAGTTTCTGAGACATGTCTGCAGATTCTATACTTAGACTCGTTCAACACCTGACAAATTTTTACAATCACCATAACATGTAATTCAGAGGCTTCTGAATCCGGCAAGATCACTCTGGGCATGTTTTGGGAAGTGGGCCCATAAACAGAATCACACAAACTTGTCTCATTTGATCACCACCTACCTTTTTACAAAATCGCGTCAGATACGGCATCTTCGACTACTCGTCAACACTATTTGCGAGGCTCGCGATAGTATCGTCGCTTGCTGCCATGACCGTTGGGAGGAGAGGTCTTGGGAGGAAAGAACCCGCGGGAAGTACAGTGACTGGGCGGAATCACAGGAAATAACACTATCCGCTACACAAGCCTTCCACAACGCAGCCGACTACGGAACCAATGCTTTCACACCAGTCGCACTCCCAGGGGCCCCAGACGCACCAACCCTGCGCTGCCGGTTCTTCCATGTTAACGACTTCCGCAGTCGCTACGTCCGGCGCGCCTGCATCCGTCATGATGGCCCCGACTCGAGATAGAGTGCTACGTGGGTGGCGGGACTGAGCTCCGACAATAAAAGAAGAATCCTGGAATGCTGCACAGCCAAGACGCTTAGTGTGAAGTTAAGAAAACGTCACGGAGGGGAATAGCTCAGAACGCGATGAGGAAGAGAGCGAGCGAGCACCAGAAACGAGATAAGAGAGCGAGCATCGAAAGGAGAAGGAATATGTCAGATCAGACATGAGAGGAGGAAAGGAAGGAGCAGAAGGGGGCGGGCGGGAGGCTGGCAGCACACACACACAGTCTGGCCTGAGGGAGATGGGATGATGGGGCAAGCGATGTGAAGTGGCCAAAGGAGGCACCTGCAGACAAACAGATCTCGAAATCAGATGTACACCCCTCCCCAGGCTAAATAACGTACACTTCAGAAAGAGGGAAACAAGGGACAACGGTCTAGAATCCGCTTCCCTAATTGATAGGAATATTCAGCAAACAACGAGCATCGAAAGTGACACACTAAGGAACAGGGAATTGCAATGTCCCAAACCTACTCAATTTCCTATCGCGGCTGCACATTAACCAGCAGCCCGTTTTTCATAAACAAAGTTAGGGACACGCTGTACTCTATCTTGTGCCCTGGGACTGGTTTCAGGCGGTACTTGGTCAGCACACTCGCTGCCACTGATTTCATCTGCATCCAGACAGAGGCGCAGTGAGAAAGAGACGGAAGATGCATTGTGCGAGTGCTGCTCACTGCTCTGCTCAGGTCAGGTTTTTGAGGAATAATGAAATGCGGACAAGGAGTAACAAACGGCACAAGCAAGTTCCACAAACTAAAAGCCAGGTTCTTCCCGGCATTCAGTCCAGACTGGACCCAGCATTGAAGGCCGGGAACTTGGCGACTCGTTTCCTGGGATGCCTCAAGGCGTCGATCCAATGCTCCGGGCGGCACTCACTATGCGCGTCTTTCCCCCCCGAATACACGCCACTCACCTCGTCGCATACAGCTCGCACACAATGCATTCACCGGGGGTAGAGACAATACGGCATTGCTTACACCCAGCCATCAACCCACATGACTGACCTGCAAGTAGGCCAGGTCTCTCCCCAGGCACAGCCGTGGCCCAGCATTAAAGGCAGGGAACTTGAAGGGCGACTCGTTCTTCAGCTGCCCCGAGCCATCGATCCACCGCTCCGGGCGGTACTCGCGGGCGTCGGCGCCCCATATGCGCGTCATGCGCCCCATGGCGTAGAGGGCATACATCACCCGCCACCCCTTCTTCACCGGGGTGCCGTCTGGAAGCACATCGTCCTCACTCACATGCCTGATAGGCAGAAGGGGATGAGGGAGATAGAATAAAATCTTGAGGCAATACTAGAATAAAATCTTAGGTTGACCCCCATATGCGCGTCATGTGCCCCATGGCGCAGAGGCGCACCTCACCTGCCACCCCTTCTTCACCGGGGTGCCGTTCGGCAACACATCTCCCTCCCTCTCATGCCTGGCGGGAGGGAGGGCGGAGGGGAGGAGGGGGGGGAGAAAAGGAGGGGGGAGAGCGCCATGGCGGAGGGGGGAGGGAGGGGAAGCACCTCGAATTACGTGCCCCATGGTGTAGAGCGCGTGCATCTTCCACCCGCCCTTCTTCACAAAGGTCCCATCGGGAAGAACCTCGTCCTCACTCACATGCCTGATGGGAGGGGAGGATGGATGGATGGATGGATGGATGGATGGATGGATGGATGGATAAATGGATGGATGGAGAAAGGTTTCTCGAGGCTGCTTGGTCATGCCCCTCAGCTCGTCATAGGTGAACACCTCCTTCCTCTGGTAGCCTTCAGCTCGGCTGGCAACGATACTCCTCGCCTATGACCAGCAGTGCAGCACCAGTTTCAAGGCGTCTTAGCTCTAGCTTTAACACTACCTTCCTTCACTCACTTGGTGTCGGCAGGGACAGAGGGGTAGAGGCGGAGAGCCTCATTGAGGGCAGCGTGGGTGTAGGTCATGCTCCTCAGTTCATCATACGAGAACGTCTCCCTCTGGTCGCCCTCAGCTCGCCTGGCAATGATGCTCCTCGCCTCTTCTACTATCTTGCTCTCCACGTGTGGGTGCCAGCTCAGCAGCCAGAAGAACCACGTCAGCAGCACTGATGACGTGTCCCTGCCAGCTAGGATGAAGTTGGTGCAGGCGTCTCGGAGGAATCGCTCCGAGTAGAGCTCGCCCCCGTCGTCCTTCTGAAGCATCATCATCCTGTGGGGAGGGGAGTGTCGAGAAAAGGAAGAGTGGAGAGGGTGAGAAACCATGTTTCTAAGGGGGTCTTGGACCAGCTGAGAGTACAGCTGGCCCCCGACGTCCTTTTGTATCATCATCATCCTGTGGAGAGGCACATAAATTAAAAAAAAACAATTTGAGATCCTGGCAGCAACAATTGGACCCCTCTCACGAGTAGAAGGGAGGGGCGAGGAGGGAAGGGGGATAATGCGAGAGAACCATGGAGGGAGGGGGCACAAACCTGGAGAGGATGTCCGAGTGGCCCAGGGAGACTCGTTATAAGGTGCCTCAAAGCTAGAGTGTGAAACGTGAACTAGAGGCACAGTGTGCATGATGGGGGAAAGGAGCAGACCTGGAGAGGATGTCCGAGTGGCCCAGGGAGACCCCATCCCGGCCCTCCTCCTCGCCATCTGCTCCGCCCTTCCTCAGCCTGCTCAGCTGCTCCTTGCGCGTCTGGATCACCCGCTGGGCGAACTCATCAATCTCCTGCAGGGTGTGGATGAGCACGGGCGAAAGGGGGGGGAGGCGGGGGGAGCGGGGAGGGGGAAATGGGGTGGCGGTGGAGTTGAGATGCTTTTTGATCTAAGAAGACCCCTTATAAGGTGCTTCCAACCCCTTGCTGCTGGAAGAGCTTGCGAGAGTGGCTTGGCTTTACAACTTCTGAAAGACAGTCCTGTACAGACTGAGGCCTTGAGTATTTTGAGAAAAATAACAGGAAGTGAATGGAATTTGTTCTTGTGAATATGTTTTTGTATAGAATTTTCCAAATCCAACTCAAGACATGAGAAGGCTGTAAAAGGACTGGTTCTTAATCGCCTCGAAAATTGACTGACCTGCACGGATGCTTTGAGAATCTTCTCGTGTGCGATGCCCCACGACATGAAGAGGCTGCGGATGGACTCTGGTAGGATGTTGCGGATCTGAGTGGCCTGTGGAGTCCAGGGAGGGAGCAAGGGGGGTTGGAGAGAAGGGGGAGAGTGGAGAAGGGAGGCGGTAGCACATCCTGCTCACATCAGTGAAACCACACGACACGAACCAGTGACGACAGCAACACAGGGGGCGAAGCACGAATCCTGCTCACATCAGCACAACTCGTTCGTTAGGGAAGAGTCTTGCAAGACAGGTGGCGTGGGTGGGACCCACCTTGGTGGCTTCGTCGAATGCTTTGGCGAAGGGGATGTCAGGCAGGCCTGCAGCGAGGCAGCCAGGGTCAACACCGAACCCGATGCGGCAGATGTTGTCAAAGGTGTAGCGCAGGAGAATGTCCTGAAAGTCAATGCTGGCGCTGGTGTCCATGGCCTGCTCGCACCGACATGGGGGAGTGATGGGGGGGGCAGGGAAGAGCCCCACTGGTTGTCAAAGGTGCAGTGCAGGCAAATGTCCTGAATGTCAATAGACGCTCCTGACTCCAAGAGCCTGAGGAGATGGGGGAGCCGCAAGGAGAGGGAAGAACAGAAGCCATCACGAGGGGCTCATGGCCCATACCATAAATACCATACAATACCACTCGTGACTGCATGCTACCCTCTACAAATCCCCGTCCTGAATGGACACCGTCATGAGGTCGCGGAGGGTGGACTCGTAGGCCAGTTTTTGAGGCGCCTCAAAAAGCGGTAGGTCAGGTATTACAAAGAACCAGCAGCCCGCAGCGGAATCTCGTCCTGGATGCACACCATCATGCGGTCACGGAGGTTGGACGCATGGCATGGGTCAGGCATAGTGACCGACATCCCTCTAGGGCTCACCGTTTGCGGGGTGGGCAGCGCAGGAGGCGGAGCTCAACCTCGCCCTGGATGGACACCATCATGCGGTTGTGGAGGGTGGATTCACAGTCGAACATATCACCACTGCACAGCACATTACACTCACCGTTTACAAGGTGGGCAGGAGCCGGAGCTGAACCTCGCCCTGGATGGATGGACACCATCATGCGGTCCCTGAGGGTGGAGTCATAGGCCAGTTGTTGCGGCGCCTAAAAAATAGGCCAGACAGAACAAAGTGAACAAAAACCCTCTGAACTAACCGTTTGCAGGGTGGGAAGGAGGCGGAGCTGAACCTCGTCCTGAATGGAGACCATCATGAGGTCGCGGAGGGACCGGGCGGAGAACTCAAGGCTGGCTGTCTTCCTCTGCTGCTTCCACGCCTCGCCATCGCTGTTGAATATGCCATGGCCCAGCAGGTCGTTGAATGATGACTGCATGAGAGAAAGACAGGGCGGGGAAATAAGGATAAAACACATCCAGAGTTATCCTTGCTGAAATGCCCAGCAGGTTCCCGAATGCCGACTGTATATGAAAAAGGATAATCGAAATCGAACAACACGGAAAATGGCGCATCAGGCTGTAGTCCTCTGATTGCTGCAACCCTGTTACGACAGCACCCTTGTGCAACGATAACCCTGATGCAAGTCTTGGCTGGTAGCTGCAGCGTATAGTTGCTGACGCTGGTCGTAGCAATGCTGTTCCCATGGCTGGACTGCACTGACCTGGAAGTCAGGCCCCTTAGGGTAGTTGCTGAACTTGTTCTTGAGAATGTGCTCCAGCACCTCGGGATTCGCGGTGATCACCTCGTTCATGCCGGGCCCTAGAGACACGTACGTCATTGTTGGACATGCCTGCACAGAAAAAGACATGCCGTTGGTGATGCTGACGAGGGAAAGCGTTACCATCCACGCTATAAGTGGCTGTTAATAACGAGTCAAGCTGCACGGAGTGCCTCACCTCGAGCAGTGACGTGGACCAATCCAGGAGATACGGGAAGTTGGAGAAGAGAGCCGGGATTGCTCCCAGGACAGGCCAGTGAGGAGGCCCAAACTTGCTGTTCCCTCTCAGGAAGTACTTATACCGCCATGTGAGGTACGCTAAAGCGAGTATAATGCCTGCTAGGACGAGCTGCCAAAGGAGAGGCATGTTGACCTGGTTGTCTGGCTCCACGTCAGACTTCACACGTGGCGATAGTTGCTCAGGGGAGGGTCGCCCTTAGCAAGCCAGGTTGCTGTACTGCGCAGGAAGGAGCAGGAGCAGGAGGGTAGACCTGAGTTCCAGGGCCTCCGCTTTTTGAAGAGTGGAGTGGATCTGCAGGTCTTCGTGACCCTGGACCTGACCACTCAAGGACGAAGGGAAGAACTTTCCGATGCTGCGTTTCTCAAGCCCTTCGGCCGGGGGTTCCAGCCTGATTTTTCCGGAGCCGTCTGGGAACAAGGCAGCTTATCGTCACCCTCGGTCAGTGTAGACTTAATCAACCTAGGGCCAGCAGAGAGCCGTTGTAAAAGCGTCGGAAGACCAGCCATCTGCTGTGAATTTTCTGACTCTGAAATGCGATCCGCGTCGAAAGGCGGCGCGAGTTTCACGCGTGCGGTCCCACGACGGGTGGAGACCGGTCTGTGGTGTGCGTCATTGTCGACCCCAGGGGATATACAAACCAAACAACGCCGTGACGTCCCGGGCCGTCAATGAGCGGTACAGAGCGGTCGCTTATGTTCCCAGAACGGCTAAGAAGCTTAACGGTTCGGTTAAGCGACGTCACATTCCGGAACGCCCCGATCCAATTTTCACACCTCCTGAAGGCGACGCAGACACGGCTTTGGTTGATGCAACCGGCGAAGCTGTGCGATGCGAACAACAGCTCACCGTTGGGCAAGCCGTGAGTAATGGACATCGGGCTTGCCGCTACGACCAGCAGCGAGGTGCACTGTAGCCTGTAAAGCGACAGTCTCCTCGAGATTATCGAGCTTGTCGCCAGGGCGAGCAGCTTGCGAACAGGCTCACGTCGCTTGCCGACGACCTGTCGAATCAAGCGACTGTCTGTCCCGAAATCGCTTTGGACTGGGCGACACGCAGAGTTTCCGCCTGTCGCTGTCAGTCAAGCTGGAGTATTGAGGTGGTGGCCTTGAAATTGTCATTGGGACGTTGACTAGGAGCCACCAACCATCCACTCCACAGCGCTTGAAATGGGTCAGGGGGAACGAAAGTTATCTCGATATTGACTCTGTGGTCACCCCATTGCACCTCTCTAATACCCATAATAAGTTAGATTGAAACCATCTGCACCACACGACGCCGTAGTGGAAGCTCTACGAAACTGGCTAGGAAAAGGTGACTGATGACGAAGGCGAGCAAGGACCCAACACCAAATCCCCGTCACAATCAGGTGCTGTACCCGATAGGTGTAATGCTAAACCTCATCAAAAGTTTAGAGGAGGCATAAACGGTGTACGGCCTGTACTGTAAAGAAAGCTAGCTTGTGACGAGAATTTACGAGAACCTAGTCTCTCAGACGAAAACACAACAGGTTTGGCCGGACATATTGCGGAATTCCGACAGATAACGGCCTGCAGTTTGTACAGACAGTTCATTGTTGTTACGATCATAGTAGTAACATCGTTTCGATACGCGAAGGTCCGGTCTTGCGCTCTTACGTCTAATAATCGCCGTCTCGCGACACATTCGCGGCGCCATGGACAACCAAGGCCAGAATCCCCCTCTCCCCCCAACGAACGGCGCACTACCCGACGGATCCGCCGCATCCGGCGCTGACGCTGCTACCGACGACGCGGGGATTAAGATGGTTCTTCCGAACATTAATTTCACCATGGGTCAGCCCACCATCGGCGCTGGTGGCGCACCACCCGGCGGACCTTCCCCCCATGGCGGACCATCTTCCGCGCATCCGTCCGCCTATCCGCCGCCATCCAATGAGGTTTATCCATCTGGCGGTGGCGGAGGCTACCCGCCGGACTCTGCGCCGCGCTCCACGGGGCTCGGCGCGCTTGGCATCGGGGGAGACGGGGGAGACATGCGGGGGGACATGCGCGGGGAAGCGCGGGGAGCCTCCGCAGATCAGGCAGAAGCGCTCCGCGGGGGATATGTACGGGGAGCCGGGGGACCTCGCGCGCGGGGAGCGCGGGGAGGGTCCAGGCGGGGAGAGGGGCGGGGGGGGCGGTGGGGGGGCGGGGAGCAGAAGCGGTGGCCGGGGTGGCCGGGGGACAATGTGTTCCGCTTCGTGGTGCCGATGGGGAAGGTGGGGAGCATCATCGGGCGGCGGGGGGAGTATGTGAAGAAGATCTGCGACGAGACCAAGGCGCGAGTTAAGATTGTCGAGGGCGCTCCGGGGACAGACGACCGCGTGGTAAGCTGTGCTGGAACTGCATTGGGGGATTCAAGGGCTCGGGGTTCGACGGGCTCGGGGCGCGAGTATGTGAAGAAGATCTGATCGCTCACAGGCTAATTTGAAAGGCTTGCAGCGTGAGGGCTCTAGGGTCGATTGCTAGGGCTGGATTGGTAGGATTAATTGCCTTAGCTGATTGCTTTAGTGTTTGGTGGCCTCACGCGTGGTTTGTTTTTTAGTTTGATGGTTTCAGATCGATCTGGTGAGGGAGGGTTTGATGGTTCCGTGGGAGCTGCTGCTCCTATGGAGGCTGGAAAATTCCTCTTGGATCGGCTGAGCTACCCCCATCGATGGTTGCTAGGCTGCATGCGTGTGCACCGTCGGATCGTGGAGGGCGTGTCCGAGGGCGAGATGGCCCGTCTCCCGTCCCTCTGGCACCTCCTTCACCCCGCCCAGTGTCAGGTGCTCGTGTCGAAAAGAGACCCCGACCGAGGTCGAGCCACCTACCGCCTGCCAGCCGTGGTGGCGATGCTGCTTGCGCGTGCACCGTGGGGTCGTGCAGGGCGTGTCGGAGGACGAGACCGCCTGTCCACCCAATCCCCTCCGCCCCCAACCAACTTCAGGTGCTCGTTTCAGGCCGGGAGGATCCCGACACGGAATTGCCCCCAGCCGTGGTGGCCATGCTGCGCGTGCACCGTCGGATCGTGGAGGGCGTATCTGAGGACGAGATCGAGGCGTCGCAGCCAGGGGAGGCGTTCCGGGGGCAGGTGGCCACGCGGCTGCTGGTGCCTGCCACACAGGCGGGGAGCCTGATTGGCCGGCAGGGGCAGACGATTAAGGCGTTGCAGGACAGCACTGGGGCGCACATCAGGATACTGTCCCTTGGTAGGTGTGGGTGGGTGCCAAAAAGGGTTTGGTAGGGGTACTTCTGTTAGGTAGCACTGCTGCCCTTACGACAGCCAGGGGAGGCGAGGTCAAGTGGCCACGCGGCTGCTGGTGCCCGCCCGCCACACAGGCGGGGTGCGTGATTGGCCAGCAGAGGCAGCCGACGACCAAAGCCCTCAGGACAGCACTGGCGCCCGTACCAGGATACTTTCGTGTGGCGGGTCCTGTATGGTGATGCAGGTACTGCGAGCACTAGTGGATCTGGTAAGACTGGTAATGCTGGTAACACTAGTAATACTGGTAACACTGGTAACACTGGTAATACTGGTAACACTGGTAATACTGGTAATACTGGTAACACTGGTAACACTGGTAACACTGGTAACACTGGTAACACTGGTAATACTGGTAACACTGGTAATACTGGTAACACTGGTAACACTGGTAATACTGGTAATACTGGTAATACTGGTAACACTGGTAACACTGGTAATACTGGTAATACTGGTAACACTGGTGAGTGGCACTTCTGGTGAGCATGAGGGGCGAGTGTGCGTGTCATCCAATCGCCGGCACACCCCCCATACTTCAGAGGAGATCCCATTTCCTCTTAACCCCCACCCATACTCCAGAGGAGATCCCATTTCCTCTAAACCCCCCACCCATACTCCAGAGGAGATCCCATTTCCTCTAAACCCCCCCACCCATACTCCAGAGGAGATCCCATTTTCTCTAAACCCCCCACCCATACTCCAGAGGAGATCCCATTTCCTCTAAACCCCCCACCCATACTCCAGAGGAGATCCCATTTCCTCTAAACCCCCCACCCATACTCCAGAGGAGATCCCATTTCCTCTAAACCCCCCACACATACTTCAGAGGAGATCCCATTTCCTCTAAACCCCCCACCCATACTTCAGAGGAGATCCCATTTCCTCTAAACCCCCCACCCATACTCCAGAGGAGATCCCATTTCCTCTAAACCCCCCACCCATACTCCAGAGGAGATCCATTTCCTCTAAACCCCCCACCCATACTCCAGAGGAGATCCCATTTCCTCTAAACCCCCCACCCATACTCCAGAGGAGATCCATTTCCTCTAAACCCCCACCCATACTCCAGAGGAGATCCCATTTCCTCTAACCCCCCCATACTCCAGAGAGATCCCATTTCCTCTAAACCCCCACCCATACTCCAGAGGAGATCCCATTTCCTCTAAACCCCACCCATACTCCAGAGGAGATCCCATTTCCTCTAAACCCCCCACCCATACCAGAGAGATCCCATTTCCTCTAACCCCCCACCCATACTCCAGAGGATCCCATTTCCTCTAAACCCCCACCCATACTCCAGAGGAGATCCCATTTCCTCTAAACCCCCACACATCTTCAGAGGAGATTCCATTTCCTCTAAACCCCCCACCCATACTTCAGAGGAGATTCCATTTCCTCTAACCCCCCCACCCATACTCCAGAGAGATCCATTTCCTCTAAACCCCCCACCCCTACTCCAGAGGAGATTCCCCCGTGCGCGCTGGAGGACGACAGGGTGGTGGAGGTGACAGGGGAGTACGCCAGCGTGCACGAGGCCATTCGGGGCGTCACTCTGCATCTCAGGCGCTTCCTCTGCGACCACTCCGTGCTGCCGCTCTTTGAGCAGTGTGTGAGTGCCCCCTCCCCGCCCCCCTCCCCTCTCTCTCTCGTTTTCCTCTCCCACTCCGTGCTGCCGCTCTTTGAGCAGTGTGTGAGTGCCCCCCTCCCCGCGCCCCCCCCCCCCTCTCTCTCGTTTTCCTCTCCCACTCCGTGCTGCCGCTCTTTGAGCAGTGTGTGAGTGCCCCCCTCCCCGCGCCCCCCCCCCCTCTCTCGTTTTCCCTCCCACTCCGTGCTGCCGCTCTTTGAGCAGTGTGTGAGTGCCCCCTCCCCGCCCCCCCCCCCCTCTCTCTCGTTTTCCTCTCCCACTCCGTGCTGCCGCTCTTTGAGCAGTGTGGGGGTGCCCCCCTCCCCTCCCCATCAACCCCCCAACTCTCCCCCCCCCACATGTACCCCTCCTCTCCCCCCTCCCCCTTTCTTCCCGCACTCCGTGCTGCCGCTCTTCAAGCAGTGTGAGTTTTCCCTTTTTTTGAGGCGCCTCAAAAATAGGCTCTTCAAGCAGTGTGAGTTTTCCCTTTTTTTGAGGCGCCTCAAAAATAGGCTCTTCAAGCAGTGTGAGTTTTCACTTTTTTTTAGGCGCCTAAAAAAAAACAGCCAGGGGAGGCGTTGCTCTTCAAGCAGTGTGAGTTTCCCCTTTTTTTGAGGCGCCTCAAAAATAGGCTCTTCAAGCAGTGTGAGTTTTCACCTTTTTTTAGGCGCCTCAAAAAAAAGCAGCCAGGGGAGGCGTTGCTCTTCAAGCAGTGTGAGTTTCCCCTTTTTTTGAGGCGCCTCAAAAATAGACTCTTCAAGCAGTGTTAGTTTTCACTTTTTTTTAGGCGCCTCAAAAAAAGCAGCCAGGGGAGGCGTTGCTCTTCAAGCAGTGTGAGTTTTCCCTTGCCGTCCCTCTAGCCCTTGTGAGCGTCGCCCTCCTCTCCTCTCCATCTCCCTATAGCTTTGAGTCACTTTGCATCACATACACAACCTCTGCGGCCACTCCGTGCTGCCGCTCTTCGAGCAGAGTGTGAGTGCCCCCCCTCCCGCCCCCCTCCCCTCTCTCTCGCTTTCCTCTCCCACTCCATGCTGCCGCACTTTGAGCAGTGCGTCAGTCCTCTTCTCTCCCCCCCCCGGCCCTTTCCCCCCCCTCTCCATGCTGCCTGTATGTGAGGACGTCCACAGAGTCCTGATCGCTGCGTGCACTCGCCTCATGTTTGTCTCTCTATCAGTAGCTCTAAACACACCCCCCCACACACGCACCCACTATCTGCTCTGCCCTCTCACACCTCCCTCCCTTTCGCCCTAAGTTGGTTCCTTACGTTACGTTTACGTACGTTTTACGCGATTCTGGTTTTAGGCCTGTATGTATGGGCAGCCTAAAACGTTTTAGGCTGCCCAAGGGAAACAATTAGGGGGGATGGAAAGCTGACTTTTGTGAAAACGTTTGTAGGTTCAAATCTTCTTGTAGAAGAGTATCACCAGTGGGGTGCGACGAAAGTCACAAGTTGTTTGGCGAAATTCCGCATGCGCGAAATCTCGTCGCCGGTGCGCGTCAAATTCGATGCGCCGGCAATCCAACCAGTCAATGAAGAACCCCTATCTAACCCAAAACAACCCCCTTGACATGTGTTTCTCCTTCTCCCCTCGACGAATGCCAATCGCTAACCTAACTCCAGCGGCAACTAAGTCTATACTACGTAGCATCCTACGACTAGGAAGGAGGAGCGCGCATACTACCAGCGCAATGAATTCAGTTGCGACTTAAATTGATGGGGTAGATCAGTGCGGAGCGTAGGCATTAGCCGTATTCTAGCCCTGAACAGCCTAGTAGTAGTTGTAAATCACATTTTCTTAGGGGGGGAATTTTTGCCCGGAAAAAAAAATATTTTGAGGCCTGCCCGGCGACGTACACGTAACGTAACATACACGTAAAGATATGCATATTTTACGTGGACGTGGGCTAAAGTCACGTAAGGTACCAACTTAGCTTTCGCCCTCCTCCCCCTCTCCAGCTCTCGCCCCTTTCTCATTCTTCCCAAAGGCCCTACTTTCCCACCATGGACCTCTGGATGCCGCCCTCTCCTCTATGGACCCCAGGGCTGTGCCCTACTCTTCCCCTCTACCTCACACAACCTCTCCCCCCTTCCCCCCATTTCTCGCCCCCTTCCTGTCCCCACCCCCACCTCCTGTCCCCAGCGCCAGTTCCCTCCCCCCATGGACCCCAGGGCTGCGCCCTACAATTCCCCCTCCGGGCGCGCTGCAGGGGGGTGGGGGAACCCTCCCCCTGGCGGAATCCACTCCCCCCCCACCGCTCGCGCTTCGACCTCCCCCCGTCTGCTGCCCCTGACCCCTATGGCGCCCCTCCTCTGGGGAGCATGGGCAGTGCGGACAGGTATGGGAGGAATGGGAGGAAGAGTGTTGGTGGTGGTGGGTGGGGTTGACTTCAACCCCTATGGCGCCCCCAGGCCTCTGGGGAGCATGGGCAGTGCGGACAGGTATGGGAGGAATGGGAGGATGAGTGTTGATGGTGGTGGGTGGGGTAGACTTTAACCCCTATGGCGCCCCCATGCCTCTGAGGAGCATCGGGGGTGCGGACAGGTATGGGATGAATGGGAGGATGAATGTTGGTTGGCGGTAGTGGGTTGGTTAGATTATCGCCCCCCCCCCCTCCCCCCGTCGGCTGCCCCTGACCTCTATGGCGCCTCGCCTCCCCTGGGAAGCATTGGGTGTGCCGACAGGTTGGAAGCGGTTGGGAGTGGTGGTAACGGTAGGATGGTGAGTGGTGGTAACGGTAGGATGGTGAGTGGTGGTAGCGGTAGGATGGGAAGTGGTGGTAGCGGTAGGATGGTGAGTGGTGGTAGCGGTAGGATGGGAAGTGGTGGTAACCATATTCGCTGGGGAGAATGGGAGGTGCTAACAGGTGGTGGAAAATCATCTTCTTCCATTTCGTTGTGTCGTTGACATGTTACAGAGTTTGTTTATATGCATTTCAGGCATGCAAGGTGCATTGTAGTTTATATAATTATTCATGCTTTCCCCCCCTGTGTGAATGCCTGCCTTTTACCCACCAGATACGGCTCAGCCATGGGAGGCTTGGGAGCAGGTTCGGGAGGAGGCTTGAGCTACAGCCAGCAGATAAGTCAGCAGCAGCAGTACCAGCAGCAGCCGCAGCAGCAGCCATACCACCAGCAGCAGCAACAACAGGCGGCGCAGGGGGTGGGGGGGTATGGGGGCATAGGGGGGGTGGGGGGAGTGGCAGGGGGATTGGGGGGGGGGGCAGCAGGGGGAATGGATGCGAGTGGGCAGTTGAGAGCGGCTGTGTCCAAGTATGGGCGGGAGACGCCTGCTGGTGCTGCTGCTGCCGCTATGGCCAACACTGTGTCCCCTGTCGTCACTCAGGTGAGAATGGGCGCTCCTCTTGACGCACACGTGCCACCCAGGTGAGTTGGTGACTTGATTTGAGGGGCCTCAAAGGCAAGCACAGCAGCACGGGCAGCAGGGACGGCAGCAGGGGGAATGGATGCGAGTGGGCAGTTGAGTTGAGAGCGGCTGTGTCCAAGTATGGGAGGGATACACCTGCTGGTGCTGCTGCTGCGATGATCAACACTGTCTCGCCCGTTGTCTCTCAGGCGAGTTTGTGCGCTCCTGTTGTGACTCAGGCCACGCGGCTTTCACGCAGGTGCTTGTTGTCCACTGCACTTGTCTCTCAGGTGAGCTTGTAACGTTTTTAGAAGCGCGTCAAACGCGTGCGTGGGGGCACCGCAGCAAGCGCACTCAGGTGAGCTGGCGCCCTCCTCTTGTCACCATGTCACCCACTTCACCCCTCCCCACTTCACCCCTCCCCACTTCACCCCTCCCCACTTCACTCTTCCCGATCTGTTACAGGTCAGCGCCACCATGCAGATCCCCGTTCACCTTCCCCCGAAGCCATGCATTCTTTTCCGTTTCTCCCCTCGTCACTTCCCAGGTCAGCGCCACCATGCAGATCCCCATTCACCTTCGCACAATACCATGCCCCATTCTTGTCCTTTTCTCCCCTCTCCACTCTCCAGGTCAGTGCCACCATGCAGACGCCATCATGTGGGCTAATAGCACCAGCATCGGCTTCCTCTGTCGCACACATCAGCAGCTTTGCAAGCCATTTGAAGGACCCCTCGTCCCCCGTTTCGCCTCCCAATACCCATCCCCCGTTCTCCATCCCTTCTCCCCTCTCCCCTTCTCCCCTCTCCCCTTCTCCCCCTCTGCAGGTGAGCGCGACCATTCAGATCCCCCTCTCGTACGTCGACGCCATCATCGGCCCCAATGGCACCGACATTGTCTTCCAACGCATTTCTCCCTTCTCCCCCTCCCCCCTCCCCCTCTCCCCCCGCCCCTTCTCAACTATTGGTGCCAACCATGCAGGTGAGCGCCACCATGCAGATCCCTCTCTCGTACGTGGACGCCATCACCGGCCCCAACGGCACCAACATGCTCTTCATTCATGCACCGCACCAGCAGCTTTCAAAGCCGTTCAAACAATGCCCCATCCCCCTCCTCCCCCCCCCCCAATACCTTCCTTTTTCCCCTCTCTCCTCTCTGCTTTCCCCTCTCCCCTCTCCAGGTGAGCGCCACCATGCAGATCCCTCTCTCCTACGTCGACGCCATCATCGGCCCCAATGGTACCAACATTGTCTTTCTCCGTCGCACCAGCGGAGCCGCCGTGACGATTCAAGAGAGCAGAGGCACTGGCGGGCAGCCGGAGATGACAGTGGAGGTGCGGGGGAGCGCCACGCAGGTGCAGACGGCACAGCAACTGATCGAGGTACGAGGCGATAGCTCCTAGTTGGGGGTTGATGGGTGAAGGGGAGCAGGAGCATGGAGCAGTCGCCATGATGCAAGAGAGCCGGGGCACCGGCGGGCAGCCGGGAATGACAGTGGAGGTGCGAGGGAGCGCCACGCAGGTGCAGACGGCGCAGCAGCTGATAGAGGTGCGTTTGTCTTGAGCCCTTGTATGTAGCAGCTTTTAGGGTGAATTGATAAGGGTTGGCGGGTTGAGCGGCCGCCACGATTCAGGAGAGCCAGGATAGGGCAGGGCCAGGAGAGCCAGATAGAGAGGACAGTGGAGGTGCGAGGGAGTGCCAGGCAGGTGCAGACGGCACAGCAACTCATAGAGGTGAGTTTGGAGATGTGTTAAGCGGTGGGCTACACGGATAGATCACGGCACTGGGGGTGTGGGCGAGTGCCACACAAGTGCTGCACACGGCTTTTGAGTCGACTCAAAAACCACAAGTGCTGCACACGGCTTTTGAGTCGACTCAAAACCACAAATGCTGCACACGGCACAGAAGCTGATTGAGGTAAGATGCACGAGGTGGGTTAAACCGTGGGTGAAAGGATGAGAGTTGGGGCCGCTGGAGATGACAGGGGAGGTGCGGGGGAGTGCGACTGGGGAGCAGACGGTGCAGCAGCAGCTGATGGAGGTGAGGCGCTGGAGAGTTGAAGGCGAATCTTGGAGGGAACTCTGCAGCAGCTTGATTGCTGGCTTGCATTCCTTTCCTCCTCTCATCTCATCTCATCTCCCGACCCTTTCATCTCTCAAGGCAAATCTCTGTCCTCCCGTTTTCCTCCTCCCTTCTCCCTCCTCGTCCCCTCTCCAAACTCCCCCCCTCCCCCTCCCCCCCCCCCCCCCCCTGCCTTCTCTCCTCAGGGTTTCATGAATTCACACACAGGTTATGCCGAGCCTGCACCTGCTCCTGCAGCGCCAGCTTCGGCATATGGATCTGCTGCCGCTCCAGCTTCGGCATACGGCTCGGCTGCTGACTTGTCAGGCTATGGCTCGTCCCTGTATCCTTCTAGCAGTGCTGGTGGTGCGGGGGCAGGAGCAGGGGGGTATGGATCAACAGGAGGTTACGGGTACTGATTGCGAAAGGATGGCGGTTGTCTTTTTGGGGCCTATGCAGTGCGAGTTGCTACCACCAGTACTGTACTAGAAGGATTTTTGGAGTTTTGTTTTGGTTTATGTGCTGCTGGGCCTCTGGCCTGCCTGCCCTAGCATCTGATCTGATCTGGCGCTTGCTGCTGTTTTGAGTTTTCTCTCCAATGAGCAATATAGTGGTTCAAGATGAATGTCACCAAGTGTTATTTGACAGCATAAGGCAGTTGTGGCTGCATGCTCTTATGCTGCTCTTTTTTTTGTGCTGTATGGATGGTTCGAGATGGTTGCTGGAGGAACTTGATGGGAAAATACGGGTAAGAGGGACATGGGAGTGATGTCCTGCTGGGAACGTGAATCAGTAGATTAACAGCGGAGCATGCAATGTCGAAGAATTTTATTCTGCAGTGTTATTGTGGCTTTCCAGATTCCCAACAGATTCCATACTCACCATACTGAGCACTACGGCGTCAGATAACAGCCCGACGGTTATATATGTCAACCAGTCGCTAGGGGGAAAGCTGAGGGCGTTGCTGCCGCTCGACCTCATAATCCGTCGCATGGCATCGCACGGCGACGATGGTCCGTCGCAAGGCGGCGATCGGCCGTCGGACGAGGCGATCTTAGCACAGCAGAATGCGATGAGGGAAGAGGACGCAAAGCGACACCCGCTCGTTGGAGAGAAGGTGCGTGATGTGATTAGAGACGGTGTGTGATTAGAGACGGTGCGTGATTAGAGACGGTGCGTGATTATATGAGCATCCATGTGTGACAGTTCCAGCTTGGCGCAGCCGAGGCTACTAACTCTAAAGGATCTCCGTGTCTCCCGCAGGAGCCGTTGTCGGCATTGGCGTCCGAATATGCCGCGGGAAGCAGCACGTTTCAAGAGAAAATCGAGGTGCGTGGGGTAACCAACCGGTTTCCCCTGGTTTCTTGTGGCATTTACCATCATAGCACAAAAAGGCTATCACATGGCCTTGTAGCAGCTGTGTATCTCGCCGCGCTGCTCTGCGCTGCTCTGCTCCTTTCGCTCCTCTCAATCTCAACCTCCATACTTCCCAGCATCTAGCATCGGGGTTTACGATGCCATCAGATCAGCCGGACTCTGACTCCGACTTCGGCTGGTTGGTCTTCTGATCCCTCCTCCAGGCTCCCCTTCCCCCCTCCCCCTTCCTCGTTCCCCCAGCACCTCGCATCGGAGTACGAGGCTGGTTGGTCCTCTGACCCCTCCTCTCTGCTCCCCCTCTCCCCCTCCTCTCCCCTTCTCCCCCTCTCCCCCTCTCCCCTCTCCCCTCTCTCCTCTCCCCTCTCCCCCTCCCCCTCGTTCCCCCAGCACCTAGCATCGGAGTACGAGGCTATCAGGCGGACTCGAGGCGATGGGAACTGCTTCTTCCGATGCTTCCTCTTCGCCCTCCTGGTAAGCACCCACCGATCAATCAAACGGTAAGTTGATCGGCGGTGTATCGTTTGAGAAACTTCTGAGAAAGGGGACGCATGGAGGAGTGAGTGAGTGCGAGCCAGCCAGCAAGTGAGACAGAAGGGAGGAGGGCGAGCAAGTGAGGGCGCGAGTAGAGCGGAGCGACTAGAGGCTGAGCTGAGAGAAAGAGCCGCTGATTGCACGAGTGGAGGGAGCTGAGAGACCTGGGGGTACTAGGAATTCACTCAAGTGCCACCACCATCTCGCATCGCCCTTCGACGTCTGTCACAAGAGCACTTGTCACGACAACTCATGGCAGCAGCAGAGAGGGATTTTTTTAGGCGCCTCAACAATCCACCACCATTTCTCATCGCCCTTCGACGTCTGTCACAAGAGCACTCGCCACACCAAGTCAAGGCGGCAGCAGGGAGGGGGGCGAGGAAGCGAGGGAGCGAGTGGAGCAGAGGCTGTCTGTGGATTCTCCTAAACCACCTGGTGAATCCACCTCTTCTCCTAAACCACCTGGTGCACCGATTTTCTCCTTTCAACCTGCAGCCCCACCTCACAGGAGCACTTTCTCCAAGGAGGAGAGTGCGAGCAAGTGAGGGAGGGAGTGGAACAGAGGCTATGTTGCAATTCTCCTAACCACCCTGACACACCGCTGTCCTCCCGTCAACCTGCAGCCCCACCCACACCACAGGAGCGCAGTTGCTGCAAGGTGACAGCAAGGAGGGGCGCGAGCAAGTGAGGGAGCGAGTGAGGGAGCGAGTGTGGGAGCGAGTGTGGGAGCGAGTGAGGGAGCGAGTGAGGGAGCGAGTGAGGTACTCTGAGTCACCCTCGCACATGCACCGATATCCTCCCCTCAACCTCCACTCTCCCGTCACAGAAATATCTGTTACAAGTGAGGGAGCAAGCGGGGCGCAGCGAGCGTTGGCTGTCTTGGGGTACCCTGAATCGCCCTGCTGCACCGATGCTTCCCCTCAACCCCCAACCTCCTGTTCCAGGAGCATTTATTGCAAGGCGGCAGCAAGGAGGAGTGCGAGCAAGTAAGGGGGCGAGTGGCGCGCAGTGAGCAGCGGCTGCGAGACCTTGGGTATACCGAGTTCACGTGGGAGGACTTTGCCGCTGTGAGTTGAACTGAAATGGTTCTTGCAGGTTAGCTGTCTGGGCTGCTCCTGCGAGCAGAAACGACTGCTGTCAGAGACAGCTCTCGCATAGGAGACCTCGGGTGCACCTTAGGGGGGGAGGGGAGGGAATTTGCTGCTGTGAGTTGAGCTGACTCCTGCAGTGAGGTGCGAGGATTGCTGTTGTGAGGGCGAGGGGTGTGGGGGGAAATGAGCGCTGCCAGACACCGCTTGCATCTAGGAGACCTGGGGTGTACCGAGCTCACGTGGGTGGGAGGACTTTTCCGCTGTGAGTTGAACTGACTCTGGCTGTTCTTCATACTCTCACTTAAGAGACCTTGACCTTGGATATACCAAGTTCACGTGAGAGGTCTTCGCTGCTGTGAGCTGGCTGAATTGATTCTAACTGTGAGTCAATCAAATTTAATATCGCTGTGATCATTTTCTTCCTTACTAGTCCACTGCGTTGCCCCCTACACCTGTCAGCTGCTCCCTATACCCCCCATACAATCCATAACCCCCACACATACCCACCCATGCATACTCTCTCTCCCCCCGCGTACCCCCACACCTGCCCCGACATGCATGCATGCATGGATGCATGTGTGCAGGAGTACAGGGAGCTTCTAGATGCCGTGGACCCATCATAGCATGTTATCTCTCCCACACCCGCACCGCCACGCATACATCCATCGCATGCATACATCCATCGCATGCATACATCCATCGCATGCATACATCCATCGCATGCATACATCCATCGCATGCATGCATGTGTGCATGTGTGCAGGAGTACAGGGAGCTTCTAGATGCTGTGGACCCATCAAGTGCAGCCGACAAGCTCACGTGAGTGTTGTTGCTGCTGCTGCCTCTGCTGCTGCCTCTGCTGCTGCCTCTGCTGCTGCCTCTGCTGCTGCCTCTGCTGCTGCCTCTGCTGCTGCCTCTGCTGCTGCCTTTGCTGCTGCCTCTGCTGCTGCCTCTGCTGCTGCCTTTGCTGCTGCCTCTGCTGCTGCCTCTGCTGCTGCCTCTGCTGCTGCCTCTGCTGCTGCTGCCTCTGCTGCTGCTCTGCTGCTGCCTTTGCTGCTGCCTCTGCTGCTGCCTCTGCTGCTGCCTTTGCTGCTGCCTCTGCTGCTGCCTCTGCTGCTGCCTCTGCTGCTGCCTTTGCTGCTGCCTCTGCTGGTGCCTCTGCTGCTGCCTCTGCTGCTGCCTCTGCTGCTGCCTTTGCTGCTGCCTCTGCTGCTGCCTCTGCTGCTACCTCTGCTGCTGCCTCTGCTGCTGCCTCTGCTGCTGCCTCTGCTGCTGCCTTTGCTGCTGCCTCTGCTGCTGCCTCTGCTGCTGCCTTTGCTGCTGCCTCTGCTGCTGCGTCTGCTGCTGCCTCTGCTGCTGCCTTTGCTGCTGCCTCTGCTGCTGCCTCTGCTGCTGCCTCTGCTTCTGCCTCTGCTGCTGCCTCTGCTGCTGCCTTTGCTGCTGCTGTCTTTTGGTTCTGGTTTTTGGTTTTTCGTCTCCACGTCAGAACGGCACGGTCTCATTCGTGCCTGGCCTGGCCTGGCCTGGCCTGGCCTGGCTAGGCTATGCGTATTTGGCATGTTTGCAGCAAGTAGAATATCTTAGCGGTTATGAACGTCTTTGTTGGCTCTGGTGCACAGGCATGTGCACATACCGCTGTGTAGGTGTGGAGTTTTTAGGCGCCTAAAAGAAAAGACGTGTAGGTGTGATCATACTTGAAAGTGGTCGTGCATACTTTCAGTGGTCGTACATTGTCGTGTGTATGCGTCTGGTGCAACTGTGCACTGATTGCAGGGAGGAGGGTCTTCTGAAGCACTGCCAAGACCCAGACTGCTCCAACTATGGTGAGTGCCACTGCCTCCCGCATGCCCGCACGCCCTCATGTCCTTATCGCGACTTCCCAATCACTCTCTAGAATTGAGCCGTCTCAAAACTAACCGACTTAACCACTGCCACGTGCAAGCCCTCATGCCCTCATGCCCTCATGCCCTCATGCCCTCATGCCCTCATGCCCTCATGCCCTCATGACCTCGCTTGTCTCATCTGCGGGGATCCCCTCCTCCTTCACGCTGCACCAGGAGTAATTCTCCTGTCTCGTCGCGTCTCCCTCACGCCGCAGCCTCGCTGCGGTGGCGCTGTTTCCCTGTTCGCCCCCGCCTGCCATCCCTCGCCCTTCCCCCAGCGGTCAGGTTCCGGTGCCTCGCCACATCAGCTGACATCCAGTGACTGGAAGAATCTTTTCTCACCCTCATTCCGTTCCCTCCCCTCTCCTCCCCTCCCCTCCCCAGCGGCCGCATTCCTTGGCTTCGTCACACCAGCTGACATCCAGCACCGAGCAAATTTCTTCCACCCCTCTTCTACAATTCCCCTTCTCCTTCTCCCCCCCCGCTCCCTTCCTTCCTCCCTCCTCTTCTTGATCACCCCAGCGGTCATGTTCCAGCGCTTTGTCACATCGGCTGACATTCAGCAGCGGGTGAAACCCGCTCACCTTCTCCCCTTGATTCCGCTTTCCCTCCGCCCTACTCTGTCTCCGTTTCCTCTTCCCCTGCCCCCTACTCTTTCCCCTCTTCCCCTCCCCCCCACTCTTTCCCCGTTTCCTCTCCCCCTTGCCCAGCAGTCATGTTCCTGCGCTTTGTCACATCGGCTGACATCCAGCAATGGGTGAAACCCGCTCACCTTCTCCCCTTGATTCCGCTTCCCCTCCGCCCTACTCTTTTCTCTTTTTTTCCCCCTACCCCAGCGGTCATGTTCCTGCGCTTCGTCACATCGGCGGACATCCAGCACCGGGCGGACGTCTTCCATCCCTTCCTTGCAGACTCTATGGCTGCCGTGGGCGGCCCAAAAGAGACAGTGAAGCACGTGAGTGAATGCTCTGTTGAGGCAATTGGGAAGGAGAGCGACCATGTGCAGATCACAGCCATCACAGCCATCACAGCCATCACAGCCATCACAGGCATCACAACCATCACAGGCATCACAGGCATCACAGGCATCACAGGCATCACAGGCATCACAGGCATCACAGGCATCACAGGCATCACAGGCATCACAGGCATCACATCCATCACATCCATCACAGCCATCACAGGCATCACAGCCATCACAGGCATCACAGCCATCACAGCCATCACAGGCATCACAGCCATCACAGGCATCACAGGCATCACAGCCATCACACCCAGTCGCATACATGGTACCCGTCCTCATTGTTTACCTTGCGCCCCTCTGCCTACCATTCCCTTGGTGGTATTTCTCCCTTGTGTCAGTTCTGCCACAAGGCAGTCGAGTCCATCGATGAGGAGAGCGAGCATGTGCACCAGTGCCAAATGCCCCACTCATACCTATTCAAACCCCCCCCACCCCCCACAACAACCCAATTTCACCAGTTCTGCCACAAGGAAGTGGAGCCGATGGGCGAGGAGAGCGACCACGTGCACATCACAGCCATCACCGATGCTCTCGCCATACCCATCCGGATCGTTTACCTTGACCGCAGTGCCGGGCAGGCAAACTTTCACGAATTTCTGCCCGAGGAGAGTGTAAGGGCTACGCCTGCTATGACACTGCTGTACAGACCGGGGCACTATGACATTCTGTACCCAAAACAGAAATAAGAATGCTGTAATTATCCCTTTTACTTATGAAGAAGACAGCTGCTGCCGTCTTGCTCGGCATGGGCGCGTTATTGGACAGTGTTGTAACGGTAACACTCCGTGCTTTAAATATCCACATCTCTTTTGTTGTAAAGCGAAGCGACCCTTCAAAGAAAGTCAGTCTATACAGCAATAGAGGTGTCATGCCCGTTAAAGGGCCTTCTGAGCAACAGAAACAGGGATCATCCAAGAGGGACGTACTTGAACATGCTCTAAACAATACGTATCTCCATCTTATTTACAAATCGGTGCGCAATGACTTAGTTGCTACTGCATCTTGCATGCTGAAGTGTGGCATTCATGGCTACTGTATGCATTCACAACGATCTCCAGTATTCCTTCCACGGTCTTGTCACGGCATCCCTGTCAGCCTTCGCAGCAGCGCCTCCGACCAGTAAATCGACAGCACCAGGCACACCGCCGCCGGCACTGCCACAAAGAGAAAGACAGCCAGGTAGCAGAGCAGAGCCAGCGAGCACCAGGGCACGATCACAAAGCTCACCACCGCCAGCACGCCCAGGAACGGCAGCCGTGTGCACAGCTGCTGTAGCCGGCCCAGGTAGTATTTCACACCGTTGATGAATGAGCGGATGAATGGGAACCATTGGATCGCCCGCTCCAGCAGCCACACGGCCAGCTGCTGCCGACTGGAATACAGCAGGTGATGGAAACCTGCCCCCGGCCCCCCCTGCCCCTGCCACCGCTGCTGCTGCTGCAAGCGGTGAAGGTAATGATGTGGGACATGTGTTGCTTCTACCCAATCCGGCTGCTGCTGCTGGTGCTGGTGCTGCTGCTGCAGGGCTTGCACGGCCACGGCAGCAGCAGCAGCAGCGGCGGCGCCAGCTGCTGCTGCTGGGGAGCCTCCTGGGCGCCACTGCTCAAGCAGCACGCGAGGCAGCACCCACCAGAGGGTCTGACCGCCAGAGGTTTGGGACCCTAACGCCTGCCCTAATGCCCGCCCTCCCAGCACCTGAGCACCCAAGGCTTGGGCTCCCAGGTTTTGAGCTTCCAAGAAAGCACTGCTGCTGCTGCTGCTGTTGAAACTGCTGCTGTAATCTCCACTGCTTCTTCTCCTGCTGCTGCTGCTGCTGCTGCTGCCGACCTGAGCATCGGTGATGCTGCTGCTGCGCGGTTCATGGGCCAAGAAGAGATCCGACTGCTCTAGGGAGTTTGGCCCGTGGGTGAGAGGGGAGCGGGTGGGGGAGTGCCTTGCGGGTGACTGGATGCCTCGAGGAAGAGCGAGCCTGGAAGCCTCCAGAAGCCATAGCTGGACAAGGAAAACCGGAGGTAACGGAGGGGAAATAGAGCTGAAGATTCTGAAACAGAGGAGGCGAATCCAAGGGAACTGAAACAATATAAGCCATCTCTTACCCGAAGTAAGAGCTGAATGAGCAGCTGGATCTGAGGCGAAAGGAGCCATACCAGAACGAGATTCTCAAAACCTTTGAGAATCAGCTCGTTCCAGGGAGAAGTTCTTGAAGGAATTCTGCGGATTCGGTTCAACAACCAGCCCTTACCAGGGAGAAATTCTTAAAAGGGTATTGCAGGTTGCCCTCAACGACGAGCCTTGGGGTCATCCAGTGGCACAGCGGGCAGTCGACGAGCCATGGCAGCTGGATGTGCAGCGAGGGGAGCTTATTGAAGACGGCTATAGGGAGGATGAGCACGCAGTGCTTGCAGAAGGTGTGGCCGCACAGCAGCACGTGAGGTGCTCTCACGCTGTTATCGTAGGCTTCCTGTAAGGGGGATGACGAACACCAGTGGAGGGACGGTAAAAGGAGGGTCACTAAAGGTGACGGACGGGCATCACACTTAGCAGTATTACGTAAAGAAATAAAGAATGGGTGTGTAAGGGCGAGTGGCCTTTAATACGCGATTTGGTTCAAGGAAGCAGGGGGTGGGGAGAGGTCATGCCCTAATCAGCAGATAAGAAAGCCCGAGCCCAGAGGGGAGCGGCGGTTTTAATCGTCTCCTGCGCCTCGAATTGAGGCACCGAGGGGGACGAGGGAAGGAGCCATACCCAGCAGATGGGGCAGTCCGAGCCCTACCGAAACCAGACGTTTAATTAGAGGAAAGGAGCCATACCCAGCAGATGGGGCAGTCCGAGCCCTACCGAAACCAGACGTTTAATTAGAGGGACGGAGCCATACCCAGCAGATGGGGCAGTCCGAGCCTTGCGCGAAGCCGTCCGTCCTGGGCCTGCTCTCGGGGGACACTCGCGGCACCACCATCGGATTGCGCGTTCGACGCTGCGGGAGGCTGCGCGTATGAGGCTGCGGGAGTGGTCGCTATGAGCCTACGGAATTGCCGCCACGAAGCCGCTATGGGGTTACGGAAAAGCAGCCACTACAAAGCGGCCAACGGGAAACGCTCCAGGCTCCTCCGCCTGGGCAACGCCGCCACGCACCCCCGGAAGTGAGCAAACGTGACCAATCGACCGAAGGTTGCGTGAATCACGCGAATCAATTGGGCGAATCAATTAGTACGGAGCAGGAGTGGCTGCTAGGAGAGAGATGCGTGATCGAACAGATGAATCTCCGTGGGCGAGGCCTGGGGGAAGGCAACCTCCCGATCGATCACCAGGCTTGGAGGTAAGGCGGAAACCTCCCGATCGATCGCGATTCAGTCTCCTAGGACGAGGTGGGGGAGAGTGGGCAAGGAAGCACGACAGCCATGACGGCAGAGTGATCCCGGAGCGACGGGTGACTGACTCCACTCCACGTCAACCATCGGCTCGCTCACGCTGGATCACGCTGGCACGCGCTCGCCTGACTCACCTCACCACCACCACTCTTTCTGCATGGGGATGGGGGAGAGCACTGAGGCCTTAAGGCCTGGATGCATGGGGATGGGCATGGGGATGGGTGGAGTTCTCGAGGGTCCCGCCGACCCGACCGAAAGCCTAAATATGCTTCGGACCGTTGCGATTTGTTGGGAGGTCCTCAAAACCGATTGCCAAAAGTTCTCCCACGCGCATCACACGAGTTCACTTTGTTCGGTTCGGTGAGGTGCTATGCGTTCTAGAGCCTTTCGTCAGAAATCGAAAATGGTTGGGTAGAGTGTCAAACCGAAAACAATCTCTTGTGACCCTAACGCGTATGTCCCATGGGGCTTGGTGCACTGAAATTGAATGGTTTCCTTCACCATAAGATAACCCTGTGGTGCAATGACAACGATCTGCTTGCCTCGTCAGACCCTTTTACTGAACTACTATTCCCCTGATAACCACACCAGCACGAAGCAGCTCTCGTCGACCTCGATCCTGAACCTTACTCGCCTCCACCTTCAAATGCCGCAACCTCGGAAAGCTCCCAAGAACCCCCCCAATGCCAGCCGCAGTGACCTTGTCACACGCCAACACAGTAAAATCAGCGAGTCTCTCCAGTGTGCTCCCGGCCAAAACCCTATCTGAGAACTTATCATTGTTCTGTACCCTTAACTCCTCCAGCTTAGCGCACGCGCGTAGCATGTCAAGCCACTGCTGCTCCTCCAACCCCAAGCAGCACACCAAGGTTAGCTGCTTCAGACTGCCAAAGACAGCAGCCCGAGCAATGGACTCGAAGGACTGTGGCTGGATGCTCGGGCTAGGGGCAGAGGAGGAGAGAGAGGAGGAGGGGGAGGGGGAGGGGCGGGGGGAGGGGGATGAACGAATAGTGGAAGGTGGTGGGGGGGAGCAGAGGTACATGAGAGGGGATTCGGAGGAGAGGGTTGGGGGCAGCCACTTGGGGAGGGGAGTGGAGGAGAAGTAGAGCACTTGGAGGGTGAGGGACTCGAGTCGAGGGCAGAATACTTCCACAGGGATTGGGGACTCGCGCCCCTGGCGCCCCTCTGTACGTTTCCCGGCTAACTCTCTTCTGCCGCGTGGCTGCCTCCCGTTTCCTGGTGACGCCTTCACCGGTGTTCCCTGCCCAGGTGTTACCTCCCCTGGCACCGCCTCCCCTGGTGTCGCTTCCCCTGGTGTCGCCTCCCCTGGCCCTCCGCCCCCTGGTGCCCTTTCCTCCCCTCCCATGCAACGCCCTGCTGCTCTTTCCTCATCTGTTGCTGCTGCTGCCGCCGTCACATCTGATCCTGCTGCTGCCCCACCTGCTGCTGCCCCACCTGCTGTCGCCCCACCTGCTGCCGCCCCATCTTCCGCTGCTGCCCCATCCACTGGTGGTCGCGCCAGAGTGGCCCGTAGAGCTGTGCTGAGGCGGCGCATGCACCGGAGGCTTACCGTCATGGCCGCCGTGTGCTCCCCCAGCCGCGCCACCAGCGAATGCAGCACGCGCAGAGCCTCTTCACGCGTCCCCACCGCACCGGACCGCACCCCACCCAGCAGACTCTCAGCCAATCCATCTTCAGGCTGTATTCCCAGAACAGCCCCATCCATGCCCCTGATTTCATCCCCCTCTCCCCCGTCCTCTCCCTCCTGCCCTGAGACAAGCTCTGTCATGAAAAACCCTGGCGCCTGGCCAGCTGCAGCAAACGCCCTCATGAGCACATCCTCCCTCTCGATAGCCGCGTTGGACTCGCGGGTACCCAGGCAGAAGGCTCGGCAGGCCGAAATCCCGGACCTGATCTTCCCGAAGCTAGCGGTGATCCGAGCCACGGCGCGCTCGCCCTCAGCGCTCGCCGCCCAGAGGGCGTCGGAGCGGGCGGCTTTGGTGGCTTCGTCGGCCGTGTCGAAGAGATGGATGATGTCGCTTGCTGCTGCGATCTTGTCTGCCTGCGCTGACGCTGCCTCTATGCGAATATCCACGTATCTGCCCCGGATTACGCTCCCCCTTTCCCCCCCACCTGCTTCTGCTGCTGCTGCTGCTGCTGCTGCGCCCGTCGCTGCTGGTGATGCTGGTACTCCTGCTGCTGCTACTGTTGCTGCTGCAGGAGCACCAGCATTTCCTCTCCCTTCCGTCTCCACAGCCTCCTCTTCCTCTTCCATTCTCTCCGCTCCTCCACCCTCCCCTCCTGCCTCCCCCCATCCCCCTCCCCCTCCCCCCCGCCGCTCCACGCGCACGAGCATGCTCACGAGGCTGTCCAGCGACACGCCGTGCGGCACGAGGTCCTGAGCCTCGATCACCCCCTCCACACTCAGCGACCTTAACCCGCTGCACCCCGCAAGCACGCCCGGGCGGAACGAGGGCAGACCACAGAGCCGAAGGGTGTGGAGCTGGGAGGCGGATGAGGAGGCAGAGAGCAGGGAGCGGAAGCCCTGCGCGCTGAAGAGGCGGTAGGTAGTGCCGCGGAGGGAGAGGGAGGAGAGGGCCGGGTTGGATTGGAGCAGGGGGGCGAGGGAGTGGCTGGAGACGAGCGGGCAGGAGTGGACAGTGAGGTGAGTGAGAGTGTGGAGGGAGTGAGAGAGGGAGTGGAGGGCGTAGGGGTCGATGGTGCAGGAGAGGAAGGAGAGGGAGGAGAGCGCGGGGAAGAGGGCGAGGGGGGAGAGAGACCGGTGCAGCTTGGCTGCGTGGTTCGTGAGGGACTTGAGAGAGGCGCTCAGGGGGGAGGGGGGGGAGCGGGGGAAGAAGCCACGGAGGAGGAAGGGGAGGGGGAGAGGGAGGAAGGAAGAGACGAGGGGGAGGAGGAGGAGGGGGAGGGGGAGGAGGAGGCGAGGGAGGAGAGGGTGGAGGGTTCAGGGCCCCAGAGAGTGAGGGAGGTGAGGGAGGAGCAGCGGGGGAGCGCGAGGTAGTCGGAGGGGAGGTAGAGGAGAGCGAGGGATCGCAGGGCGGGGAAGACGTCCACGGGGGGAAGCGGGGGCTGCTGCGCGTAGAAGAGTGGGCTGCGGGCGTAGCGCGAATCGAGCTCCAGCGATGTCAAATGCCTGATCAGCGTGGTCGGGAGGGGAGGTGAGGGGTGAAGAGGGATGAGGAGGGATGAAGAGGGGAGAGGGATGGAAGGGATTGATGGGGAGAGGAGGTTACTGAGAGAATAGGCACGGAGAGTTCAGCGTTTGAGTCGACTCAAAAATCGACTCATTACACACGAGAAGAGGCACGGAGAGTTCAGCTTTTGAGTCGGTTTAGAAATGGAACAGGCGGGAAGGAACTGCAAGAGAGACGGCACGGAAACGTCTACTCACGGGCATTGCTTCGCCAGCTTTCGCCACGCGCGACCGTTGACGTTAAAGTTAACCCATGGCGACATGAGCCTCAGTTTTTCCAGCCTCGGGCAGCCCGCCGCAATCCCCTCCATCAATTGGTTCCCCAGGCCAGAGGTAATTTCCACGGTCAGATCCGCAACATGGGTAAATACCCTCGAAAAATCGTCGAAACTTTTCAGCCATGCTCGCGGATTGGCGGCGTGTCGCGGCGAGTAGAATTCGAGGAGGAGGGTGTGCGGCGTGCTGCGCGAGAGGCGGCGCAGGCGCGAGCAGGAGAGCGCGACGCTGCAGCGATCGGACGGGTGGTTCGCGAGGGCGAGGATAATCTGCAGGAGCTCGTCGGGGAGAGAGAGAAGCCTGCCGTCGCCCGCGCGGCCCCCTTTCGCCATCGCGAAAGGATCGTTCGGTTACCACCTGTAATTTCAAACGCAGCGATCGGACGGATGGTCCGCGAGGGCGAGGATAATCTGCAGGAGCTCGTCGGGGAGAGACAGCAGCCTGCTGTCGCCGGCGCGGCCGCCTTTCGCCATCGCGAAACGACCTGTTACTTAGTTGGTTACTACATTTACCTCAAGCGCAGCGATCGGAGGGATAGTCGGCGAGGCGGAGAATGATCCGTAACGCACGATGGTTGTCGTCACGCCTAGGCCTCAGGAAGGGAAGAGAAAGATGTTGCCCCTTGCACAACTAGGCTCCGAATTCAATGCTCCAGCTTCAAGGCTGACCATCCTTGGGCTTTGGGCTCGACCTCGTTACAAAGAGGCTGATGCAACCTGGTAGATGAAGGCTGGGACGTATTGATGTCATTGATGAATAAATTTGACGTATACTGGTGCTGTAGCTAGATTTGTACTTCGTTTTCGAGGGTGACTATGCACGCAAAAGAAAATCTGCTAACGAAAGTGCAGTTGGCGGGAATCGGAGCGTCGCACATCATCAGACCAGCAGCGGTCGTCGGCGGTCGCCTGGCGACGACTACTCTGTCGCAAGTCAACCTTGATCCACACCGTACATCTGGTTGGTTTCGTCGCCTCGCAACCTGGTGTCAGAAGTATCGAGTCCGTACAGACTTCTAATCTTGGCTTCTACTGTAATATTTACGTCAAAAGTACTACCAATTAGCAGACGTCGCTGGGACCATGATCTCAGTGGCAAATTCCCGCAGTGTGTAATGAGTTTACTTTTACTATCGTTACACACGTTGCTGAACCACGATCTCAGTGGCGAATTCCCGCAGTCGGTGGGGGGCTTTCGATCAGCACACTGGCAGTGTAGAGGTACCCTTGATGTTTCTATATTGGTAGGGTAGGGGTACCATCCCATTTCTTTTAACACTTTCAACTGATTCGAAGGCCACAGGATATCGTATAATTGATTCCTTGTAATAATCTGCGACATTTATCCAAGGCGAAAAACTGCCAATTTGCAGCCATGGATCGCGGAGCTCCAAGCTACCAGAGCACCCTGAATCGACCACTCGGTTATCCTCAAGGACCGTCCGGCGGTTACTCGCAGGGAATGTCGTCCGGCTCCGTCGCTCCGCAGTACAGCACAGGCTCGAACCCTCAACTGAACCCGAGCCCATACCTGGGGTCGAGCCCTTACCCGGGGTCGAACCCTCCTTATTCGGGACTGAATCCCGCCGTGCCTCAATACTCGACCTCGTCGAGCGGTGGCTTTCAGCCGACAGGCAATCCGAGCAGCCAGCTTGAGGGAGCGACTTTGGGGGGTACTAACCCTAGCGTGGCAGCATCCGTTTCCCCGTTTCCGCACCAATACAGTCAGCCGCAGCAGCAGCAACAGCAGCAGCAGCAGCAGCAGCAGCAGCAGCAGCAGGAGTCGAACCAGCAGAGGTACCAGTACTTGAACCAGCAGCAGCAGGTGCAGCAGCCGCAGCATCATCATCAGCAGCAGCAGGAGCAGCAGCAGCAGCAACTTAAGCAGCAGCATAAGCAGCAGCAACATGTCGGGTCTGGAGCTGTAGCCATGCAAGACGCCAATGCGTTGTGGGAGCGAATCGAAACCCTAGAGGTAAGGCTGCTCGCGCGTCAGCGGCAAGGGCACTGATCAGCAAGGGCCTGGTAAATGATGCGATTTAAGAGCATTTATACTATAAATGTTCCATGTCTATTGTTTTCCCCTATTGTTTTCCGTTCAGGCGGATCTGCACAGTGCGCGGCTGGAGGCAGCAAGGTTGCAGACGTGTGCGCCTGATATCTGCTAATTCCAATGGCACTGATCGTTTTCCTCCTCCCCTCTCCCTGCCCATCTCCCAGGCGGATCTGCGCAGTGCACGGCTGGAGGCGGCAGGAGTAGAGATGCGGCGCCTGCCGTTCTGATCATATGGCACGTACCGCATTCACCTTCCCTGTGCCTCTCCATGCCATCCCAGGCGGATCTGCGCAGTGCACGGCTGGAGGCGGCAGGAGTAGAGATGCGGCGCCTGCCGTTCTGATCATATGGCACGTACCGCATTCACCTTCCCTGTGCCTCTCCATGCCATCCCAGGCGGATCTGCGCAGTGCACAGCTGGAGGCGGCAGGAGTAGAGATGCGGCGCCTGCCGTTCTGATCATATGGCACGTACCGCATTCACCTTCCCTGTGCCTCTCCATGCCATCCCAGGCGGATCTGCGCAGTGCACGGCTGGAGGCAGCAAGGGCGAGAGCTGCTCTGGAGGCGCAAGAGCACCGATGCGCCGGCCTGGTGGAGGATGTGAGTGCTGCTGGTAACCTGGTTACTTGGTAACTTGGTAAGTAACACGGTGGCATGGTAGTGCGACTAACTGAATTGGGTTAGAGGCGCAAGAGCACAGATGTGCTAGCCTGGTGGAGGATGTGAGTGTGGTAACCTGGTAATGTGGTAACATGGTAATTGGTCCTTTGAATTTGCTCAACAGGCAACAGACGTGGTCTGTGGAGAACGGCGGTTGGAGTCGGACAGAGCTCTGATGGAGACGCAGGTGGACGCCGTCGCCTCTCACACTGTGCCCCTTCTCCCCGTGATTCTTCCCCCCTCCACTCCTCACCTTTTCATCCTTCAGGTTCGGCGGTTGGAGTCGGACAGAGCTCTGATGGAGGCAGGTGGGCGCATTCGCCTCTCAGCGGTACCTCTTAATCCCTCTACTGCTCTGCTCTCCACTCTCCACTTTTCACCACTTCTCTCTTCTCCCCTCATGACCCCTCAGGTGCGGCGTTTGGAGTCGGGCAGATCACTGGTGAAGAAGCAGGTGGACGCTTTTGCCTCCCAGCTGCCACCCCTCTCCCTTCTGTTCCTCTCACCCCCGCTCACCCCCTCCCCATCTTCCGTCTACTCTCCCCTCCCTCAGGTGCGGCGTTTGGAGTCGGATCGAGCACTGCTCAAGAAGCAGGTGGACGCCCTCGCCTCTCAGCTGCACCCCTTCTCCCCGTTTGTCTTCCCCCCTCCACTCTTCACCCCTTCTCTATTCTCCCCTCATCACTCCTTACTAACCCTCAGGTGCGACGTTTGGAGTCGGATCGAGCACTGCTCAAGAAGCAGGTGGACGCCTTCGCCTCTCAGCTGCACCTCACCAACTCGCAGCTCGCTCAGGCCCAGGCTGCTCTGCAGGCTGCGGATGAGCAGAGCAAGGCGCACTCCAGCAAGGTGCGTGCTGGTTATGCTTTGCCTGCCTGTACCTGGTTACCACATAGCCTTTCGCCTCGCAGCTGCACCTCACCAACTCGCAGCTCGCTCAGGCCCAGGCCGCATTGCAGGCAGCGGAGGAGCAGAGCAAGGCGCACTCCAATAAGGTGTGCCCTCTGCTGGCCTCCCACCTCCGCTGGCTTTTCTCTCCTCTTCCCCTCTCCACCTCCCTACCCCATTGTCCTTTCCTTCTGCCTTGGCCTCATCCCTTTTCCGTGTCCTCTCCTTTTCACTGTCCCTTTTGCTCTCGCTGCCAGTCAGAGGAGCAGACAGCATCACCGCTTAAGACACTGGAAGCAGCAGGCACCTTGCTTTGAATCGCCTCAGCCACGCCGCTGATTATCTCTCTCCTCTTCCCTCTTCCCTCTTCCCTCAAATCTTTTCCTCTCCCTCCCCAACCCCACCGCACCAGTCAGGGGAGCAGACGGCATCGCTGCGCAAGGCAGTGGAGGCAGCAGGCATTGAGAGGGATGCAGCCGTGCTGGCTAAGGTACTGTGGCGGTGCTGATCGAAGGTACAGTTATTGGAGATTTCCTGCCTACTTTTTTCTCAATCGCCACTCCTTCTAGTGTAGTGTCGGGAGCACTGTCGTGGACTCGTGGCTACATTTGAACAAATTCCAGCTTCACCCCAACTCCCTCCAACCCTCCTCAACGCTGTGGGAGTAGGAGGACTTGGCATCGCAGGTGCGGGTGCTGAAGAAACGACTGCCAGGCAGTTGCGTAAGCTTCAAATGGTGCCTCTTTTTTTTTTGTCTCTGTTCAATATTGCTGCCTCCATCCCTTCCCCCCCCCCCCTTTTGCACGGAGCAGGAGGACTTGGCATCGCAGGTGCGGGTGCTGAAGAGACGACTGCAGGAGGCAGAGGAGGAGCAGTGCAAGGTGGGGCAGTTGATTGGTGGTGAGGGGGCAGTGTGGTTCGTCTGTGGGATGAGTTTAAGGATCTTGCTAGGGTAACCAAGGGCGAGTTCAGGAATCAGGGGCAGTGCAAGATGGCGACACAAGGCACGAGGAGGTCTTTCCTGGTGCGAGGGGTCAATCAGAGCTGTGTTCCGTGGTGCCAATCCAAAGCATGAGCAGCAGTCAGCAGGGGGCGCATTTGATAAGGCAGGTGCGGACTTGTGACTTTTGCGTATTGCTGATTCTCTCGTCTTGCAGCCATAGAAGGCATCGGCGGCAGTTTTGAGGCGCCTCAAAACTAGTCTTGCAGCCATAGGAGGCATCGGCAACAGTTCCAGTAGAGATGAATATCAAGGTTTTGCTCAGCACTCAGCAGAGGCGACAGTGGATAGGGAAAGTGCGGCTTTTGCTTGCCCCTCCTCTCCTCCCTTCCTTACTGACCTTTCGTAGGCAGAGGAGGCATCGGAAGCACTAGATGTAGAGCTGAGAGTACTGCAGCACTCAGCAAGGCGGTAGAGCAGGCTCAGCGTTTTTGCTTACCCTTCCTATCTTCCCCTCTTTGGGTACTGTTTGCAGGCAGAAGAAGCATCAGCTGCACTAGCAGCGGAGCTGAGAGCGTTGCAGCACTCAGCAGAGGCCACAGTGGATAGGGCAGGTGCGGCGTTTGCTCCCGACCCGGACCAGCTCAGGGTTGCCGAAGCTGCCAGGGATGCTGCCAAGGCTGAGTTGCAGGTATGGAATCGTCGAGGAGCCATGGAAAGCGGTTAATAATCTTGTTGGAAAAAGTGATTGTCAGGCGTAGAAGGTGGTTGTGCTGTGTTGTGAAGCATTGAGAGAGTGTTTCGTATGTTTCGTTTCCTTTAACCCTGTACCTGCATTTTCCCTCTCTCCCCTCTCTTGCTTCCCTAACTGACAACTGGAGATGCGGCAGGGAGTAACTGGCATGCGGCAGCAGCTAATCAGGGAGAGGCAGAGGGCGGCATGGCAGTGGCAGGCAGATATTGCCTTGGTCTCTTCCTTTGCCCCCCTCCAGTCACAGGATGTGCGGCAGGAGCTTACAGGCATGCGGAAGCAGCTAATCAGCGGGAGGCAGAGGGCGGCATGGCAGTGGCAGGCAGATATTGCCTTGGTCTCTTCCTTTGCCCCCCTCCAGTCACAGGACGTGCGGCAGGAAGCCACAGGCATGCGGCAGCAGCTAATCAGCGGGAGGCAGAGGGCGGCATGGCAGTGGCAGGCAGAGATTGCCATGGTCTCTCTTTCCCGCGGTCCTCTCCCCTCACTGGTTCCCCCAACTCTCAGGACGTGCGTCAGGAATTGCCTGGCGTGTGGCAGCAGCTCACAGCGGAGGAGAGGCAGAGGGTGGCAGCAGACGCATGGTTTTTTACATGTATATTTCCCCCCTTTATTCCCTCCTCCTTTCTCAAACAACTGGAGGATGTGCGGCAGGAGCTTACAGGCATGCGGCAGCAGCTGACAGTGGAGAGGCGTGGCTCGCTACCCTTTCCATTGATGTGTTCCCCTCTCTTTCTTTGCCCCCCTTCAATCACAGGACGTGCGGCAGGAACTGACAGGCATGCGGCAGCAGCTGATAGCGGAGAGGCAGAGAGTGGCAGTGGCGTCTGGGAGCAAGGAGGAGGTTGAGAAGGAGCTGGCAACCGTGCAGGCGAAGCTGCAGGTGGGCAAATGACAAATGTAGGGAGGGTAAAGGTTGCTGGATTTTGGAAGGTGTACAGGAAGGCTTTTGAGTCGACTCAAATGTCAAATGTAGGGAGGGTAAAGGTGGCTAGGATTCGGAAGGTGGGCAGAAAGGCAGAGCGTGGCAGTGGGTTTGGAAAGGAAGGAGGAGAGGAGGCTGAGAGGGAGCTGAGGGTGGGTGACGATGGTGAAGGATAGAGAGGGGCGAAGGAGGTAAAGCGCAGCACTCCATAAAAGCATCTTGGTGTTCTGAGAGGCTGAAGGTGGTAGTGGCGGCTGTGGGCAAGGAGGAGGCTGAGAGAGAGCTGGCCGCGGTGCAGGCAAGGCTGAAGATGGGTGGAGGAAGTGAGGGAGAGGGTTTCGGGTCTTGTTAGGTGAGTTGGAAAGGTGTATGGAGAGTGGCAGTGGCGGCTGGGGGCAAGGAGGAGGCTGAGATAGAGCTGGCAGCAGTGCAGGCAAGGCTGAAGGTGGGTGGAGGAAGTGAGGGAGAGGGTTTCGGGTCTTGTTAGGTGAACTGGAAAGGTGTACAGAGAGTGGCAGTGGCGGCTGGGGGCAAGGAGGAGGGTGAGAGAGAGAGCTGGCAGCAGTGCAGGCAAGGCTGAAGGTGGGTGGAGGAAGTGAGGGAGAGGGTTTCGGGTCTTGTTAGGTGAACTGGAAAGGTGTACAGAGAGTGGCAGTGGCGACTAGGGGCAAGGAGGAGGGTGAGAGAGAGAGCTGGCAGCAGTGCAGGCAAGGCTGAAGGTGGGTGGGATTGGGCAAGGAGGGAGGGTAAATGCAGTTGATGCTCTGAGAGGCGGAAGGTGGCAAAGAGGGTAGGAGGCAAGAAGGGTAGGGGGCAAGGAGGTTGAGACGGATCTCACAGCAGTGCAGGCAAGGCTGGAGGAGGATGAATATGAAAGGCAAGCCAAGTTGAAAGTTGCGCAGCACAGGGTTGAGAGGTAGGAAGGAAGCCAAGAGGGAGGGACATGGGAGGGACATGGGAGGGACGGAAGAACAAGACGGATGGATGGGCACCACACCATATTTCTAGTTTTGAGGCGCCTCAAAATCCTTGTGATAGGAGTCTAGTTTTGAGGCGCCTCAAAATCCTTGTGATAGGAGTCTAGTTTTGAGGCGCCTCAAAATCCTTGTGATAGGAGTCTAGTTTTGAGGCGCCTCAAAATCCTTGTGATAGGAGTCTAGTTTTGAGGCGCCTCAAAATCCTTGTGATAGGAGTCTAGTTTTGAGGCGCCTCAAAATCCTTGTGATAGGAGTCTAGTTTTGAGGCGCCTCAAAATCCTTGTGATAGGAGTCTAGTTTTGAGGCGCCTCAAAATCCTTGTGATAGGAGTCTAGTTTTGAGGCGCCTCAAAATCCTTGTGATAGGAGTCTAGTTTTGAGGCGCCTCAAAATCCTTGTGATAGGAGTCTAGTTTTGAGGCGCCTCAAAATCCTTGTGATAGGAGTCTAGTTTTGAGGCGCCTCAAAATCCTTGTGATAGGAGTCTAGTTTTGAGGCGCCTCAAAATCCTTGTGATAGGAGTCTAGTTTTGAGGCGCCTCAAAATCCTTGTGATAGGAGTCTAGTTTTGAGGCGCCTCAAAATCCTTGTGATAGGAGTCTAGTTTTGAGGCGCCTCAAAATCCTTGTGATAGGAGTCTAGTTTTGAGGCGCCTCAAAATCCTTGTGATAGGAGTCTAGTTTTGAGGCGCCTCAAAATCCTTGTGATAGGAGTCTAGTTTTGAGGCGCCTCAAAATCCTTGTGATAGGAGTCTAGTTTTGAGGCGCCTCAAAATCCTTGTGATAGGAGTCTAGTTTTGAGGCGCCTCAAAATCCTTGTGATAGGAGTCTAGTTTTGAGGCGCCTCAAAATCCTTGTGATAGGAGTCTAGTTTTGAGGCGCCTCAAAATCCTTGTGATAGGAGTCTAGTTTTGAGGCGCCTCAAAATCCTTGTGATAGGAGTCTAGTTTTGAGGCGCCTCAAAATCCTTGTGATAGGAGTCTAGTTTTGAGGCGCCTCAAAATCCTTGTGATAGGAGTCTAGTTTTGAGGCGCCTCAAAATCCTTGTGATAGGAGTCTAGTTTTGAGGCGCCTCAAAACAAGACAGATGGATCATGAATGGGCACCATACCATATTTCTCCCACGTCTCTCTTTCCCACCATGCTTCCTCCACTTCGAAGCATTATTTGTTCCTCGGCATTTATGCACTCTTTCTTCCAATCTGCATGCATGCTCCTTTCTCTTGTCAGGAGGCGTTGGAGGCCCAGGAGAGGCTCAAGAAGAACGTCAAGGGGGAGGTTCGGCAGGAGGAGGAGGGGAACATCAGGTCCGCCATCGAGGCTGAGGTTCGGCAGAAGCTGGAAGCGGAGGTCAGGGAAGAGGCTGAGAGTGAGTTTCGGAAGAAAGTGGAGGCCGAGGTTCGGCAGGACGTGGAGGGGAAGATTCGTAAAGAGCTTGAAGCGGAGGTTCGGGAGAAGGTGAAGGTTGAGGTTCGGGAGGACCTAGGAGGAAAATCTGGGGGAATTGCAGAGGACTCAAAGGCCAGCAGTCAAGGAGAAGTGGAGGAGGGGGTTCAAGTGACTTCTGCGAGCGATGAGGCTCGGAAAGAGATCGAAGCAGCCGCTGTGGCTCGGACGCGGCAGGAGGCGAAGGAAGAGGCTCGGAAAGAGGTTCGGGAAGAGCTGCGGTCGGAGCTTCGGCAAGAAATTGAGAAGCAGGTCCGGGGCGAGGTGACGGAGAAGATCCGGGAGGAGGTGCGGAGGCAGGTTGAAGCAGAGGCAAGGTCAGAGGCAAAGGATCAGAGTGAAGTGAAAGCAGTACAAGAGGTTACAGAGGGTGCTTCTTCTTCTGCTGCTGCTTCTGCTGCTGCTGGCCCAGCAAAGCAGACAGACGGGGAAGGTGTGGGAGTAAGAGGAAGGGAGGAAGTGGGAAGTGGAGTTTTGGCTGGGAAGGGAGAAGGAGAAGGAAAAGGAAATGGTGTGGAGGGAGGAGGGGGATCAGAGGGGGGAGATGGGAGCCAGGCTGTAGTGCAATTTGCGGAAGAGCTTGTGAGACTGAAGGTGACTTGCATTGCATTCCCTCCCTACGACTTGGGTCTCGCACGCACAGTTGTCTAGTTCGACTTGAGTTATGAGAGCTGCGCGTGCTTTCTGGAACCACTGGGACTTTCCTGTGAGTCGACTCAAAAGTCACCTCTTCTTTTCCCTACGAATTGAGTCATGCACGCACACTTGTCTAGTACGACTTGGGTTATGAGAGCTGCGCGTGCTTACTGATCTTGTCTGGGACCTTCTCGGGTCACCCCAGCTTCTCATGCTGTTCTGAGATATCCTGTGACCTTGTTTGTTCCCCCTGGCAGGAGGAGAGGGAGAGAGCAGAAGCGGAGCGGGCTCAGCTGAAGCAGCAGGTGGAGAAGCTGTCGGCCTCGCTGGCTAAGAAGGAGAAGGCACGGCTCAGGCTGCTCTCTGAGGTGAGGGTTCCTAAGGTCGCTGAACAAGTTGACTTGTTGAGTCAACTCCAAGGTCGCTGCAGCAGCAGGTGACGAAGGGTTTGGCGTTTGAAGCTGCTTTCTGAGGTGACGTCAATTCTTCCCATGGCAACAGTTACTGTTTCTTCTACGAGATGCCTCAGTCCAGCTGAGGTGATTCTTTGCCATACTTAAGTATCATCCAGTGGAACCCCAGCTGCCTCAGGTCGAGTACATCATTGTTCTCTCTCCCAATGCATGCCATCCATGCTACCATCTTCGGGTGGACTCTCGGTCCCTTCGGACTGGGCAACTCTTCGTAGTATGATGTCATACTTTCCATGTTCCAAGTTATATCCTGCTGTCCATGTGACCTCCATCAGGTGGATTCCCAGTTGCTATGGATGCAGCGTCTCTCCTTTGTCCCAATCAGGGTGCAAATATATGGAAATCATATTATACGGTCTGTTTTATACGGTCAGTATAATACGGCAACATAATAAAATACGACCATTTTTAAAATAGACATTTTTGAGCCACTAAAAAAAAAAAAAAAAAAAAAAAAAGGTGCGAAAACAGATTATAGTGTGGCTACGATGGACTACTCAGCGCTAAGGGGGCTAAAAAACTGTTTCACAGGTACGTATGTCCAATCTTAGTCCTCCTCCTCCTCCTCCTCCTCCTCCTCCTCCTCCTCCTCCTCCTCCTCCTCCTCCTCCTCCTCCTCCTTCTCCTCCCCAACAATATCAGGGTCACAGCCATCCCAAAAAATCAACAGCACTCACAAATGAACTACCACGGTATACCCAAAAGTGATTACAATTTGTTTACAATATTTTTTTCCCCAAAATTTGGCTGGTTTGAACAATACGACCGTATTTAACGACCGTTTTTTTGCACCAACCAAAAAACGCACGTCTGGACCGTTTCAAACCGCTTCATACGGCCGAAAAATACGGTACGGCAAAAAAAAAAAAAGGCCGGTTTTTTGCTCCTTGGTCCCAATGCATGCCATGCCATCCGCCTTCCTTCCACCTCCTTTCATCCGTGTTTCTCATATTCAGGTGGATTCCCAGTCGCTGCAGATAGAGCGCCTCTTCTCGGAGAACTCAGGGCTGGCAGCTGGGCTCAAGGAGGTCTCCGCCATTGCCGCCCGCTGGGAGGCTCAGGTGAGCGCAACAGAGGCTCAGGTGAGGGCAACAGAAGTTCAGGTGAGTGCAACAGAGGCTCAGGTGAGGGTAACAGGGGCTCAGGGGAGGACTCCAAAGGCTCAGGTGCGCTCTGAGACAGGGAAGGGTTTACACTGGATAAGTTGAATTAATTTTTAAGAATGGAGGATTGTTTTCACTTACTTCCATAGCGGTCCCCCCGGTTGATTCCTCTCTCTCCTGCCTGCTGCTCACATTTGTCATCCGTCCCTCTCTTCCCCTATCCTGCTCTGCTCTGCTCTGCTCTGCCCCGTGTCCTGCACAGGTGCGAGCATGGCAGCAGCTCCAGAGCGAGCAGCAGCAGGCGGATAGCAGCAAAGAGGCAGCAGCATCATCATCAACACCAGGTGCAGCAGCAGCAGCTTCTTCAACAGCAACAACAGCCAGTACAGCCGGAGTTCCGGGAGGATCAGGAGGGGAGTTGTTGGGAGGCATGTCAGCAGCAGCAGCAGCGGGAGCAGGAGGAGGAGCGGCGGCAGCAGCGGCAGTGGGTCCGGGGCTGGGAGATACCGACACAGAGGCAGACATGGACGACCAAGAGCTGCCAGTCTCCACCTCCCCCAGGCAGCACCTGGAGCTGCCACCGTTGTCTGCCTCCGGAAGCTTAGCAAATGGGGAGCGGAAGGTGGAGGTGGTGGCGCTGCTGGGAGGTGATGCGCTGGTGGTGGGGGCAGGGGTGGTGGAAGGCGGGGAGGCGGGGGCGGGGGAGGGGGATGGGGAGAGGAAGGAGGTGGGGGCTGGGGCTCGTGGTGGGGAGGATGGGGGAGAGGGCCAGGGGAGGGGAGCGGGTGTGGAGGCGAAAGGAGGGGATTCGGTGGGGTCGCTGAGGGAAGAGAACAGGAAGCTCAAGGTGAGAGGGGAAACCCGCAAAACTTAGTTAGAAGGAAGCGCTTCAGAAATTAACAATTGAAGGGAAAGTTCTGGAAACACTGGGGAGAATTAGACGGATTCGAGCCGTCGTCAGTGCCAAAGTTCTGGAGGGGAGGTACTTGGAAGAGAAGAAGCGCACGGTGAGAGGGGAAAGAAAGGCGCCAATCAGGAGTGAGAATGGAAATGGGAAATAGAGAGTGATGAGTATCTCCACTGCTGCTTCTCCACGCCATGTCTCCTCCCCACGTCCTGCGTTCATCGCATTCCTTCAGCAACATCCCTTTTCCTCTTCACCCGACAGCACCTTCCGATCTTACTGCCTCTCTCTGCCCCCCCTCTCTGTCCTCGCTACAGGACGAACTGAGTGCTGCCCAGCACCGCATCCGCCAGCTGTCGGTGCAGTCGCTGCGCTCCAGCGCCAGCTGTACCACCGCGGTCCAGAGGCTGTCACAGACCAAGCGACTGTGAGTGCCCTCTACTACCTCATGCCCTTCCTCCTTTGCTGCGCTCTGGTACCAGATGTATTACTGCCGCGCACAGGCTATCCCAGACCAAGCGACTGTGAGTGCCCTCTACTACCTCATGCCCTTCCTCCTTTGCTGCGCTCTGGTACCAGATGTATTACTGCCGCGCACAGGCTATCCCAGACCAAGCGACTGTGAGTGCCCTCTACTACCACAGCCCCCCCCCTCGCTTCCTTACTCCTTCGTTGTGCCGCGCTCCAGTGCCAGCTGTACTAGCATGGTCCAGAGGCTCTTGCAGACCAAAGGGCTGTGAGTGCGCTCTATTACCCCCCACCCTTCCCTCCATCCCCCCCTGAGTGCGGTCTGCCAGCCACCCCCCTCTCCTTCCTCCTTCGCTGCGCTCTGGTGGCAGCTGCACCACTGCTGTCCAGAGGCTCCTCTACACCAAAAGGCTGTGAGCACGCTGCTGAAATGGTGTCGTACCAGGCTCTCTTTTTTTTTTTCCCTGCACCTGCCCAACTTCCCTTGCACTCGAGGCACATTTCCTGAGGCTCCTCTCCCTACCTAGTACCTACGTCACTCTCCTGCCTTCTCATTTGCTTTTTCCTACTCATCCCCTGTCAGTTCTTAGGACGTACCTCTGTTGTGGTCTTGACTCTGGCCCCACATGTCTGCCATCAAATGCGTTTGTGTTGGTGCATGTGGGCATGTTTGTTGGTGCATGTGGGCATGTGGGCATGTTTGTTGGTGCATGTGGGCATGTGGGCATGTGGGCATGTTTGTTGGTGCATGTGGGCATGTGGACATGTTTGTTGGTGCATGTGGGCATGTGGGCATGTTTGTTGGTGCATGTGGGCATGTGGGCATGTTTGTTGGTGCATGTGGGCATGTGGGCATGTTTGTTGGTGCATGTGGGCATGTGGACATGTTTGTTGGTGCATGTGGGCATGTGGGGCATGTTTGTTGGGGCATGTGGGCTTTTTTATGTGCGTGCACATATGTGTGCTTCTTGTGTTTCTTTCAGGTACGGCCCTCTGTTGAACAGCATCGAGCAGAAACTTCTGCAGTACAAGCAAGAAACGCCAGCCAATGGCCACCTGTGAAGTCGCTTGACCAGGATAGCGCTAACTTGGTACTGTATTTATCAGGTGGACCTTTTATTAAGCCGTGTAACGTGAATTTATGCAGTTAACTTGTGGGCAACTGGCTGACAGAAGAAAATTGTTGTTGCGAAACGATTTGGTTTGAGAATGATGTGTGTCCGTCGGCAACTAGTCAATTCAAGTCTAAGTCACACTCTTTGTGGTGCGGTGGGTGTGGCATTGTCGAATGTGCTCATGTGATGAGAGCACCGAGATCAGGCTCGCTGTGTGCGACGCTGTCGGATACTGGCAAGGGCAAAATCGCCCTCAGTCTGCCTCTTTACTACATAAGCCATGTCCATGTGAATTTGGTTGGTGGTTCCCTTCCCATACTAGCGAAATACACAATAGAGGGCTATAAGGATAAAGTACAGGGAAAGATTTGCTTTGCGCTCCACTCTAGCCCGTCTTTAGCCTTCCGAAACCTGACAGGATTCCGGAATCCAGAACTGTTACCCTTTCCGTGAACCTTCCGCATCTGTTCGTTCCACTGAAAATATTCGCCGAATTCGGAACTGGTTCGGTTGTCCCAACCGAAACCAGTAGATTTTCCACGCCTTTAAAGCGGGATGGGCGCGATTCTCGTTGGGGCGAGGACGTCAGCGCACTGTGGCCGCAATCTGCCTCTGGTGTACTGTGTAACAAACTTGGATGAGTCATCCTTCTTTAGGACCTCCTTCCAGTCCTTCGTGGTCAACCTAGGTGTCGCTCACTCTGTAGCATTGATAAAATGGCTGTGCAGTTTGCGGAATGCCGAGCAGCAATAATCGAGTGATGGTCAGCAATAATCATGACTGGAAGTCAGCTCGGGAAGCAGAGTTGATGGGCTACGATGGGCAACTCGATGAGATAAGGCGCGCGTCATGACTTCAACTTGAAGTAGCCCCGTACTAGCCATGGCAAGCCGCGCGTCCTGACTTCAGTGGAGCACGGCGAGCATGATGCGCATCGGGATGTGCCCGCGAGTCGAGATGGGCACCGCCTGTTCCGAAGCAATAATTCCGCGGCTGGCCTGGACACTACTAGTAGCGCCTACTGCTCTGGCAATAATTCTGCAGTGCGGGTTGGCCATCGCGCCGAGACCAGCGCGGCGGAACTTCTGCGCCGCTGGCGCCCGCCGCGGACGTGGGCTTTCCTTGCCCGGCTTTCCATACAAGTACACCTTTCCCCAGTGGGCCAGCCAACTTCATTCCCCAACGTCTCCCCTGACTTCATACCCAGCATTGTTCTCGCAAGTCGCCCAGTCGGGTTGCTCTTACGATTGCCCACTGCCGCGTTCCAGACTTGGCCGTGTTTGATTCCGAGCGCATCATCCTACTGCTGCCACTACTACTAGTAGCGCTACTAGCGCTGCTGTGAGCGAGCCTCATTTAGCTTTCAAAGCCTCAAGTTGAGCCTTGACCCTTGAGCGCCGCCGTCGTCGCTGCGCTGCGGAGCCTTGAACCGCAACCCACGTGAAGAGGTTGGCGGCACACTGACTCGTCCCGCGGCGTTCGTCCAAGAAGCATCCTCCCCTCTACCGCAAGCCACGGCGCCGCGCTCCCACCCGTCCCCGGCTTCTCCACAGTCCGTCGAGCACTGCTAGGCGCGAGAGCGGTCATCAGCAGCGTCGATTTGCTGCGCTTCCCCTCACCCTCAAGTTGGAGCGGCACCATGCTGCGCTCCAGCCTCACCTGGCCGACCTGGCCGACCTGGTCTCCCTTGGCGCCGGCGGTGAGCCGCCAGGGACGGCGAATGTGAGCGGGTGCAGCGCGCGCTGCCAGCGGCACTCGCGCTGTGCCTTGCCGCTGTCCTTGCCACCACGCCCCTCGTGATGGTCAACGCTCAGCCGTTCGAGGCCTCGCAAGGTGAGAGCCGCGCACGGTGAGAGCCTCGCACGGTGTGAGCCTCGCAAGGTGAGAGCCTCGCACGGTGAGAGCCGCTGTGAGAGCCGCTGTGAGAGCCGCTGTGAGAGCCACTCCAACATAGTCCTTTGCAAATGTAAGCAGATGAACTCCAGCAATCATATCACCGGCATGAAACAACCCCCACATTGGTGCGTGCGCCTCTCACCCCACCCTCCTCCCTGCTTCCAATCCAACCACACCTGCCGCACCCCCTTCTCCCCTCTCCCGCCTTCCCCAACTCCTCCCCTGCCAACACCCATTGCTCCCTCCATTTTCCTCTCCCATTCTTGCCCCCCTACACCAACCCCCCAGTGCAATTCTTTGAGGACTGCCGGACCGCATGGCCGTCGACCTTCGATGGGTGGGATAGATAGCCGCAATACCAACTGCAGCACAATTCTTGAGGCGCCTCAAAAAGAGATTCCTCTCCCCATTCTCTCCCCCCTCTCCCAATCTCGCAGCGCAATTCCTTGAGGACTGCCGGAAGGCATGGTCGTCGACCTTCAGTGGGTGGGACGGCCGCAACACCAACTGCAGCACTGCCATGGGCATCAAATGCGACAGCAGCGGGATGATCTTGCAGATGTGAGACCATCAGATCCGCGCATTCACAATTCTGTCCTAGAGTGCCAACATGCCCGGAGGTCCGCCCGCCGTGCGCCTATGCAGTAGGCGAGGCGAGAGATATGCGGGCTGGGTTGGCATTGTTCTGTAGTACTATTGTGTATTAGGGCGTGGGTTTGGAGTCGCTGCAACGACTGGTACCGTGGTACGCGGGGTTGGCGTTGTGTAGTACTAGTATATCAGTGTGCACACTTCAACTGGTGCGGGTCGGCAAATTTGTGTTCGGGAGACCTGCTGGAACTCCAGCAATCACCACATGTACGCGTCATGTTCTAGAAGTGGTGCCACCTACAAGCTGACATGCTGACACTTTTATTTCATACTATGCTGGCTGATGGTAAACCGTGTGGTGGCATGTTTGGATGCAGATCCCCTCCGGCGAGTTACATGGCCTCTCTACGAGGGCCCATTCCGAAATCCATCAGCAATCTCCAAAAGCTCACTTACCTGTAGGTCCTCTGCAAGAAGCCTCTGGACTGTCTTCCGCCGCCCTTGTTCCCCTGCTTCCTGCTCCCACTTGCAATCTTGCAATTCTTGCCGCCATTGACTGCTCGTTTTACGCGAGAATGAAATCTCTGCCTTGGTCTATCGCATGCGCGTTTCGTCATTGTTACAGCAACCTTCAAAATCGATCTCTCACTGGCTCAATCCCCAACGAAATCGGCTCCCTTACAAACCTGGCACTGCTGTAAGGCTCCTGCTTCTGCTGTGCTCTCCTCTCCACCCTCTCTCCTTCGTTTGACGTTAGTCCAGTCTGGTTTCTCTGGCTCTGCTGCATTCCTTAATCATTTCACAACCCCTCATCTTGCTTCCCTTTTGTCATTCCGAGTTTTACATATTCTCTCGCCTCCTCACCGCCTATTTTTCCCTAGCTCCTCCTTTCTCCCCATTTTGTTTCTTCGTCGTCTCCTCACCTCTTCCATGCATTCCTCCGTGCTCCTCAATTCGAGTCTTGACAGATGCTCTCCATTGACCCCTCTTTTGATTTACTATTCTAGAGTGCACTTACCACCACCCTCTCCTTTCCTGTATTTTCTGCACCTTTACCCGTGTTGTTCGCCATCACAGGCAGCTCCGTAATAATCAACTAAACTTTATCCCCAATGCAGTCGGCAATCTAACAAATCTTCTTGCACTGTAAGCCGTCGTCCTTGTATAGCAGTTGAAGGTTTTTTAGCTACCCTGAAGCCTCCCTGATTTTAGCCACCAACGTGACGTCTCCATCCATGCATTTACATGTGCACTTCTTGTTGAAGGGGCTGGGCGCTCTGCAACTAGATCCGTCCAGTTCGTAGTATTCTAGGTTATTCACGCGAAGTCCCTCTCTACCAATTGCATGCTTGATCCGTGTTTATTGTTACAGGGATCTCTTTATGAACCAGCTTACTGGCTCCATTTTCAGCACAATTGGCTCTCTGAAAAACCTGGAATACCTGTAAGACCTCTCTGCTTCATTGTGCTCGCATTTCTCTGCCCCTACTCTCCATCCTCTCTCCTCCTTGTGATGCCATTCCTGTCCTGTCCTGACCCCTGCTCTCGATACCCCCTCTTCCTTTTAATCCTTTAAATTCGTTTAATCCATTTACGACCACCAACTCCATCGCTCTACTTAGTGTGCTCCACGCTAGAAGCGAGCACCGCACACGGGAGACAAGGGCTTCAATGTAGCTGAATATAGGCGAAATAGATTCGTTGTTTGTTCCGTTCATGGACTCATTCGGTTTTAAATGGTAAGATTTAAGGAATTTGAGGTATCTGAAACAATATTCCCGTCATCATCCAGTCCATGCCGTTCCAACTCCACCACTCTCAACTCAACTCCACCACTCTCAACTTCCGTCCTATTCCTGCCCTTTAACACCATGGATATTTTTCCCCGCTGTTTTTCTCATCCCAAATTCCCTTTCCGTTCACCATACAGGAGTCTCGGAAACAATCAACTCACCGGCCCTATCCCTGATACCATTGGCGCATTGACAGCTTTGAAAGAACTGTAAGCCCTTTCACGGGCCCCTTTCTTCTTGCAGCGATGCTCTCATTCAGGGTGGCCTGTGTGCTTCTCAGTGGGATACGAGAGTGTCCAAGTTGATTCGAGGGAAAACTTTTTTTAATAATCAGGCACGCGGAGCGTTCCACGTCGGGCGTATGGGATTGAACGTCGGGCGTTCTATTATGGGGGTTTGTCCTATGGGTTTATGCTTTATAATCTGTTTATGTGGCCAAGCTACCTGACTAGCTTGGATTGTGCTTGTCATCGGATTTTGTTTTTCTTAAAGGCGCTTTATAATCTTCCTATCTGGAAGCCCTGTAAGCCCTATTCGTTTCCACTCGATTTAGAACTCTCTGCCTTCTCTTATCACATTCCTGCTGTTTACGTGTACAGAACCCTCCAATTCAATCAGCTCACAGGCTCAATTCCTTCTACCATTAGCTCTTTTAGAGAGATTGAAGTTCTGTAAGCCCCCCTCTCTTTGTTGTTCTCAAAGGTTCTTATAATCTCCTGCGTTGTCCACTTATCTCCACGCCATCCTTTCCGTATATTGTGCACTTTGTGCGCCGCACTGCACTGAGCTGAGCTGGGCACGCTAGGTTCAAGGAACTTGCC